TATTTGCATAAGAATTATTTAAATTTTATATAATTTTTTATACAATAAAATTTTTAATATAATCTATATAAAATATTTACATTTTAATATTTATTTTAAATAATTAAAAAAAATTTATGATTAAATAAAAGAAATTTACGCTATTAAAGTATTTTAATAAATAAAATCTATAATGATGAAATACTTTCTAAAATTTTGTTATATTTTATTCTTATATGCAAATATTTAAAATAAATTTAACATAGCCTAAATGAGTGTTCATAAAAAATGGGAGAGTTGAGAGAGAAAATCCTGGCTAAGCCACTGCAAATAAAACTTCAAAATATTATTGTTAATTTTGTAGTATATATATTATACATGTAATATCATTTTATTAGAAGTGATTATCACAATGTAATTAATAGTGATGAAGATTTTATGATACTGATTATGATACATAATCTGAATTAGATGATTTTCTTTAAAATTTGATAAAAAACAGGGTTGTGCATTTGACCGGTCAAATACAATTCGGTCAATTGACCGATATTTGACCGGTCAAATATGGTCAAATTCAAATAAATGTTTTTTACACCAATATTAACTTTATTTTGTATTATATAATATTATAATAAATCTATGTATAATAATAAATATCATAATATTTTTTAATTCATTTTATAGTCAATGTTTCACCCTCCGTGGCAGAGTCTTGTTCCGATTCATATTCAATATCATTATTTTCTTTAATATTTTTAATCAATCTTAAATTATGATACACTCTTACTAATTTTCCTGCTGTAGAAGCCTTTAATCTATTTCTGTTTTTCGTGTGAATATTGCCCCAAACCGACCAATTTCTTTCAGAAGAAGAAGTCGAACTAGGAAATGATAGTAAAATATTAGCGACTTCTCTTAATGGGCAATGTGGGCAAAATGCATTCCACCAACTTGAGGCCGAAATTTGATTGTTTCTTATGGAAGTTACAACTTTCCACATATTATGGCTATTAAATATACCGCTTTTGCTTCTGAAATTTACTATATTACTCAAAATATTTTGATTATCACCACCTTGTAAAATACCCAATTCTTGTATTATATTACATGCTTCATCAAATTCAGTATTAGTAAGATGCTCCCCTTGATTTTGGGGGTCCAATAAATAAGCAGCATTGTGAGCACATGTATTTAGATCAGTTTTTCTCTTTTCAAACATAACCTTAATTTTTTTTTCTTGAGATGGAGAAAATATAGAATCATGGCATGATTGTATTATGTGTTTTTCCAAATTAAGCATCTCGTTTTTTACTTGGGCCAAAGTACATTTATCCCCTTGAACTTTCAACAATGAGGTAGCTAAAGGTTGGAGTATAGCTAAAAATTTTAAATTTTTCGTCCAAAATTCTTCGTTTAATATATTATTGGTAATTTCTATGGGACAAATATCACAAACAGCTTCTTCAACAACTGATGCTTTTAGAGTTTCTTGCATATTTGAATTTGCTCCATACATTTTATTGACGATGCCCATCTTGTTTGGCTAATTGTACTTAATGTAGATGGTATGCCATGAAGATTCTTATTACGGGAAAATACTGCAGCTGGTATGTGTTTATTCTTGAAAAATTTAACAATTTTTTTAATTATTGAAATATGGTCACTGAAGGCGTTCAATCGTTCAAAATCGTGAAAGAATAACTGCAATGTATGCGCTGCACAACCATAACATTGTATATGATTATAAATAGATTCAGATTTTAGAATTCTCCAGGCTGCTTTCATGTTAGCGGCATTATCAGTAACTAAAGAATATACTTTTACCGGATTCAATTCATGAATTACATTTTTAAATTCCTGGGCAATATAATCTGCCGTATGGCGATTTTCCTCAGTATTTAGAAATTTGTAGAACACTGGAACAGGCGTCATCACCATAAAATTAATAATACTCTCGTTTCTAATGTTGCTCCAGCCATCTGATACAATTGATAAGTAAGGAGCTTTATCTATTATATCTGCAACTCTCACCTCCATATCACCTGACGCTTTGTCTAGAATGTGTAAATAGGACGTAGTTTTTTAAAAAATTCTTGGATGTAGGGATTTTCAGTGATGTGGAAAGGTAAATTGCTCGCATATACAGCCTTTGCAAACAATTGATCCAGCTCATTTTTTTCTTTGGGATTAATTCTATCTATGAAACCGGTTACACAAGATTGAGATTTATATTTAATCGCCTTGCTTGTAGATTGATTAGAAATAATGGAATCAAATTCTCCTGAGTCACAAGACAAAATATTGTTCATTTGATAATCATTCTCACTAATTTCACCCAATTCTTCATTAGAGTTAGACTTAGAAGTATTACAAATTACATTTGTGATAATTTTTGTAGAGGTTGATATTTTGGAATTTGAATAAAATTTTTCCTTAATTATAACAGGGCACATAATACAGCTGCTTAATAAATGTTTGACCATTCTATCAACGTGGGTGATATAGGACATCTTGCAAAACTTGCACACCGCTTTAACTGATTTACCATCGCGTACTTCTTGAAAATGTTTCCAAACATGATGCTTTGGTTTGACCATAATCCCTAATATATTAAAATTTAACAAAAAATGATTTTGATTATTGTAAAGTTAATCAATCTTAACTATTTTATAATTATCGACCAATTATTCCAATAATTTCTTAATATTATAAATATAATATAATATATATATAACTTTTTACCAGAATTGAATAATATTCCTTAAATCTGACCAGAACAATTAAAATGAAAATTAATTTTAAAAACCAAATATAGCAAGTGTAAGTAAAACAAATGAGAATTAATATAATTTATACTCGGCTAAATATTAAATAAAATTTAAATTTATTAAAAAATAAGAATGAAAAAATTATATTATGATTATAATAAATCGGGTATTTTTATTTTTTTTAAGAAAAATGAATTGAAAAAAATAAAGAAGGCGAGAAACGGCAATGATTAGGCAAAAAAATAACTAAAAATATTACTATATTTAGAAAAATTACATATTTATATTTTAATAAAAAAATAATAAGATTGATAAACATGCTTTTAATGCATACTAGTTAATTATATCAAAATATTTATTCGCCATTAATATTTTAGAGTATTTGACCGTATTTGACCGGTCAAATACTCCTCCGGTCAATTGACCGACATGCCAACCCTGATAAAAAATAAAGTCACTGAATGGGAAAAGAATTTTCCTAATCTAAGAATAAGAACTAGTCAAGAAAATTAGTTATTTATCTGCCAAGGAACTTAAGAATATGGGAAAGATTGTTTTGGCTTGTTCTTTTTAAATATATTCTTAAATTTATGCAATAAAAATTTTATTGTATAAAAAATTATATAAAATTTAAATAATTCTCATGCAAATATTGGTATTAAAAAAAAATATGAAAATATTTTCAAAATATAAATAATTCATTGTATTTGTTGTACTTTGATTAAAAATAGTATTTGCATAAATTTAAGAATATATTTAAAAAGAACAAGCCAAAACAATCTTTCTCACATTCTTAAGTTCCTGGCAAATAACTAAATTTTCTTGACTAGTTCTTATTCTTTGATTAGGAAAATTCTTTTCCCATTTAGTAACCTTATTTTTTATCAAATTTTAAAGTAAATCATCTAATTCAGATAGTTTATCATAATCACTATCATAAAATCTTCATCACTATTAATTACATTGCCATAATCACTAACAATAATATTTTGAAAGCAGTGGCTTAGCCAGGAATCTTAACACCAAAAATGATTAAATAAAGAGAAAGTATCAAAATAAAATAATTATATTTTTGTTTACTTTGGGTTTGGGGCTTTTCCTTTTCTTCCATTAAAATTTGACAGCAATTAATATAAGTTATGGATTTGATAAAGATAATAGGAAATAAAATGAAATGATATCCACTAGGAAAATTTAATAACTTCTTTTTTATTATACTTACAATAATTTACAAATACATATAAAATATTTGCGAAAAATTACGAATATTTATATATAAATAATTTCGAATAATACGAATAATTTTCCTCATTATTCATATTCCATTCGAAATTTAGAATCGAATTTCGAATAACAAATAATTCGTTTTAGGCCTAAGTGTGATAAAACAAGTTTTAAAAGATGAATCAAAATTTAAAAACAAAAAACTACATTAAATAACCATGGTTTTTTACCACCTTTAATTTATAAGTTGTGCAATCAATATTGCGCAAAAATTCTAATTTAATATCTTAAATCTTAAAATAATATATTATTCAATTAAAGCCGTAAATTTATCAATTGCTAATGTTTTTTATAAAATTAATAGAAAAACAGCATTTAAGCCCTTTCTTAAAATAAAAAAAATAAAAAGATTTTTAAAAAATCTTGACAAAATTATAAAGAACATAAATTACATTCCTAATGCTCTTCAATATTAAAACACCAGGTATTAAAAATTATAAGAAGTTTAAAAAAAATTGGACAAACACGGGAAGAACGATAGAAAAAAAACATAGAACATCATTTAATCAAAAGCTATTTTGTTTCAGGCATGGCGACACATTCGTTAGAAGAGGATGTCATAATTGATTTTGTAAATATAAAGGTTTTAGCCAATACGAAAATATAAAAATAGATCAGTTAGAGAATCAATTGAGATAGGAGGAAGGAATTTTGTTTTTAATTACCTTAAATTTGGGAAAGATTTTTTAAAGGAATTTCACATCAGCAATAATGTAATCGAATATTTTTATTAAACAATTATTTTTCAATATATACACAAAATTTTCGCGCGTCTTAACATGTGTGACCATAAAATATTTTTTGAAAATTTTATTTTATTAAAATATAATGTGACAAAGACAACAAAAGTTGTCGAAATATTTTTAAAATTAAAATTTTCATAGCATTATATAGAAAAAAAAATGAATAAGTGTAATCTTTTAATATTGAATTGATAAAAAAAATAAAATAAGATTTTAATAAAAACAGATTACTTATTGGCTAGAGAGAAGTATCTTATATACGGAAAATTTAGAAGAACGTACCGCTGTCCTATTGCGTATCATCGAAATTATGCTCGTTTTGAACGATCTCAACAATTTTAACGGACTTTTGGAATTTATTAGTGCCCTCAATTCGGCCCCCGTTTATAGGCTGAACCAAACTTTTCAAGTTTATATCTATTTTCATCACAAGCATATAATTAATATTAGAATAAATGTAAAGCTCTGCGTCTTTCTTTGTAATAGGACTTAGGATGTGTGTCAATGTGTAATTAAAAGCGACACATGCCAATCGCTATTTTTTTTAGAGGCCCGCCCTACAGTCAATCTATTTAAGATGAAAATAGAGTGCCGCTATTTTTATATTATGGCCATACGGTTGTTTGGAAGAGTGGCGAGAGAATGAGCCAATAGGTTTATTGAAGATAGAAAATCGATGATAATATAAAATAATTTTATTGGATAATTTGATGAAAAAAATTGGATGATAGAAATTTTTTTTTAAATTCAAAAATATATCTTTATCTAAATACTTTTTTTTATAAAATCATCTAATCAATTATTTTAAATTAAAACTATACCACCAAAATATTTTATTATCAAACTTTTCGAATAATTTTAAAAAAGCTTAAAGTTTAATAGTATCCTTGTTTTATTGGAAACAGAATCAACATTGATTATTTGTAAGAAGGACCTTGCTTTTAAAGTATTTAATAAAAGTGTCTATGAGTTAGCCAATTTTTTTTTCAAATTGAGGGAGGGAGGTTGACTCAATTGGCCAGCTATTTAATCGAGGTAAATTTTGTTAACACATCAAGCTTAGGGCCACTACCCTGCATTCACAGTTAGCGCAAATTCGCGGTAAATTATATAAAATATGATATAAATTTAATAATTTTACATTCATTTTTGTTAACTTCGCCGCGAATTTGCACTAACTGTAAAATGCAGGGTTAAGACGAGTTTTTTTTTGTATTATATAATTTATTATATTTTAAAATTTTAAGAAATTAAACGTTTTAAAGAATAAATTAAGGGAGAAATCAGAGGCGTAAGTGGGGGAAAGCCAAAAAAAAATTTAGATGCCAGGTATTTTCAAAAATATTATTGATTCCTAGCTCTTATCGCACATGTATTCCAATTCATTATTTATTTATCCCATTCATAGCAGAAATATTACTCGAATAATTTATTTTTTATCAATTAATATCGCTTTCAAATTTTCCTTAGCGTTATATTTGTCTATTTTAAAATTTTCCGCCAAATCATTTGAAACCTTTGCTGGAAGGGTAAAATATTTCAAAAAAATGACATCGATTTGATTTAGACCACGAGAATAGCTAAGAACTAGTTTTGTTAAATGGCTCGATTTGAGCCGATTTTTAAAAATAGCTAACTCAATATTAGCCATAAAAATATTGCCAAAGTTTCGAGATTTCGCTAATAGATGTCCAAACCTTTGTGCCATCTATGAGCAAAATCCATAATATTTTGATAAAATATTTAGTTAGCCGTTTTAGAAAGTGTTTAATTCGAGCCGCCGTTCAATAACATCACTGAGAAATACTACACCTGAAAATGGATGTTAGCTTTTCTTAATATACATAGGGAGTTGACACCAAACACTGATAAAAAAATTTAATTATATTTTTCCCCATTTTTTAATACACCATATTTATTTTTGAATATTTTGTAAGTTTAACTTGCAAAATTCTTAAAAATATTTTTATGCATTTATCTATATTTCTATAAATATAATTTTTATATATCAAATTTAAAATGCTTAAAAAATTTATATTTTTTTTTACAAAGATTATAAACATTTAATATTTTACCATTAAATTTATATTTAAAATTTATGTATTATGAAAGTGTCAATATTTTAGTCACTAGTCCTAAATAAATTTTAGAAACTTAAGATATTCCTAAATAACTCCTTGGATAATCCTTAGAATTCCCGAACGCCCCTGTGAAGAGTCATTTTATATTACGAATATTCTAGAAAGTATTAGTATTTAAAATATTATATTTTATTTTTAATTAATATTTAAAAATTATTATTCATACATATATACAACTATTTTTCTTATTTCGAAATCTGGAAAACTAATTTATAAATACATTTTTTTAGCAATTACCCCCAAAACTCATCAAATTTTATCAAGACATGTGCGAGCTTATGCTGGATAAGCATTTTAAACTTTACCGCGAAAAACTCAAGTCAATCGACCCACCTTGCGTTCCCTTCTTAGGTAATATGGACTCCCAAATTTAATCTCTTCTCTTATTTAGTTGGCAACTTAATATTTACCCCCTTTGTTTTGGTATCCCTCCCTCCCCATGAATTCTATAATAGAGTAATGAGTCAAGCGCGAATTTTTTTTCGTGAAATAATATCTTAAACCTATGTCTACGAATATTTAAATTGGCCATGAAATAATCAAGATTAATTTGGGACTAAATCAGTTAATTATCGTCTGCTTCACCATTGAAATTTATTTTGTGTAAGAAAGAAAGAAAAAAAAAACTATTCGAATAAATAGAATTAGCTAAATTAACATTACCGAGGAGTATAGAAGTTAAATCAAAATAAGTATTTATAAATTGTAAGATGATTGGGCTATCAAAAGGAGAGGAAATTATAAAAAAGTTCTTGATGATAATCAAAATACAAAATACACAACCTTATTTTAATCAACTGAAGATTCAACCCGACCCCCTTCGATTTTTTTAAAAATTTGTATGATGGTAATATATACACTATCTAGTAAAAATATAAAATTTTAATTATCAACTCAGCTTACTTCATGAGATATGGCCATCTACAGAAACACGGAAATTCCAAAATACACTATATTTAATTTTAAATATCTCAAAAAGTAATTAAGCTATAGCTCTAGAATAGCTCTTTATTATGATATAAAATTTATCTTATTGAAAAAAGTATATTACCAAAAACCGGAAATGGCTATAAATAAAAAATGCTCTTTTTTTTCTTTTAAATTTTTTTTACAGATAAACATTATACTTCTTAATATTTGTACAAAATCCTAGATTGGGACGAGTATTGGGTCAATAGTTATTACACTTTAAATATAAGTAGTATGGCTTAAATCCTCTATTATACCAAATATAGAGTAATTATTTTTTTTAAAAAGTGGGCAATATATGTGAATAATAGCATTAAAACTAAAATCCTAAAAAATCTGATTATTTTGCATTTATTAAATGTTAAAAAACTCAAAACAACATTTAATTGTATTATTTTAAATATAACACATAAAACCAAGTAGAATAATTCCGAATGACGTTGCAAATAAAGTAATAGAATTTTATAATTCTGATGAAAACAGCTGACTTATGCCAGGTATGAATAATTTTATATCAATGAAAGTTAATGGAAAAAAGAACCAAATGAAAAAGAGATTAGTTTTATGTAATATAAAAGAATTATTTACCAATTTTATAGAAATAAACAGTAATATATAAAGATAGATTTTATCAAATTTGCTATCATGAGACCAAAACACTGTACTTTAGCAGGCGGGTCTGGAACGCATACAATGTGCATCTGCACATTTCATCAAAATTTTAAGTTAATTATAATTGGTGGTAAATTAGATAAGTTAACTGCAAACCAGCATAACTTTCCATTTCCTCCCTTAAAAAATTATAAACACTACATTGCACAAAGTCTATGCAATCCAGCCCAGTCTTGCTGTTACTTAAGAAAATTCCAAATGTGTCCCGGCACTTTGGAATTTAAAGAAAGACTACACTTATTGTTTGATAATAATGCCATAGATTATATAACATTCAAACAATGGTTGGCAGCTGACCGTACTACACTCGAAACTTTAACAAAGTCCGCCAACGAATTTGTGGAGTATTTGATTGAAAAATTAAATATTTTACTTCCTCATGCATTTATTTCTTCGGTACAATCTTCATTTTTTAAATCATTAAAATTGAATTTGAAGGATGGGGAATATCTAAAAATATCCTATTTTGCAGAGAACTAAGCTTTTGTAGTTTAAGATCACGCTCAAGGTTTTCATTGGATTAATAATCAGGCAACACTATTTATGATTTATTACCGCGAAGGCGATATCATCAAACATTTCAGTTACTTGATTATATCAGATTGTCTCAAACACAATATTTGTTCCTTTAATTTATTTCAAATAAAATTAATTATATTCTTGAAAGAAAGATTTGATAAGATTTCAATAATATTTTATTTTTCTGATGGAGCTGTTACCCAGAATAAAAACAAAAAAAACTTTGTAAACCTCTACAACCATTATAATGATTTTGGGATCAAGGCCGAATGGCATTTTTTTGCAACTGCACATTGCAAAACTCCTTGCGATAGTTTAGGGGGAATTACTAAGAGGTTGGCGGCTAGAGCAAACCTGCAACGTCCTCATGAAAATCATATAATAACTCCCATTGACTTATATAATTATGCGAGAATCAATATCCCGGGAATTAATTATATATTTGTTAGCAACGTAGAATATTTAAGAATGGAAATCAATCTTGAAAATAGATTTTTAATGGCCAAACGAATTCCCGGGACACAAAAATATCATTACAAAAATGTTGAAGGGGAAAAATGCCCGTTAGTAGAAGTCACAACTGGGTTTTTGGTAATATACTTTTTTTCAATAAAAATAAATTTTATATCATACTATTCTAAAGCTATTTAATAAAATTAAAATCATGTCTTTAGCTTAATTACGTTTTGAGATATTTAAAATTAAATATAGTGTATTTTGGAATTTCCGCCTTTCTAAAGATGGCCATATCTCATGAAGTAAGGCTATTTGAAAAGTAAAATTTTACATTTTTATTAGTTAGTGTATACTACTAACATGCAAATTTTTAAAAAAAATCGAAGGGGATCGGGTTGAGAGACTTTTTTTGGTTGATTTAATATGGAATACAACATATAGCTTTCCTATAGAATGGAAAGAGAGAAATTGACCCTTTAGCACTCACAAATGATCGACGCTATTTATCAAAATTAGTATTGTTAAACGGCTCCATTTTGAACCGATTTTTTAAAACGGCTATCTCAATATTTTAACTAGAAAAAAATATTACGCAGACCCGAAGATTTTGGTTATAGATGGCACAAATGTTTGGACATTCTATTAGCAAAATCTCGCTTAGCAAATATTTTTCTCCGACTTAAAATAAAAAATGGCCCAAATCGAGCCGTTTAAACAGTAAATCAAAATTTATGCTTTTTAAAATTATTTTTAATATTTTTAAAAATTAGGGATTTACATGTCAGATATCTTGCACTTAGAAGAAGGTAACCCTAATTTTATAACCGCTCCCGACAAAAATACGAATGAGGGTAAGGGGGTTAAAGATACCCTGATCATAAACGCCCCTTCTTTCATCAATGTCAACGGGGAAACGAGCGCTGACAATATTGTTGATACTGATAAAACAAATGCGGTTCAAGTTCAAGGTGCAGATTTTTTCTACTTTTAAAATATCGTGCCTTACCAGTCTAAATATAATAAATAAAAGTATCAGGTCCATATGGACTTTAAGATAATATTTTATAATTTTTTTTCCTTTGACGGTGAAAAGCAAGATTGCCTAATTTTATTACGATTATTATAACTATTTATATATCCGGTGGTGAAATTTTTTTTTTTAAGATAAGAATATGGAAAAGATTTTAAAGAACGATAAATTGGACAGTAGTGGCAATAGGGAAGATTCTTCATCTCAAGGCAACGATAATTGTAAATTGATAAATTTTTACAAATGGACGAAAGTAGCTCAAGTTTGTAACGACATCCAGGATTACCAAAATACTCCTTATCATTTTACTGTCGAGATGGATATCAGGGTAATAATTTTTTTGTTTAAACATAGGTTTTTATAAAGTATAAGGATAGAATAATCATGAAAAGTAGGAAGTCGAGTCGGCTCTAACAGAGCTAATCCTTTTTTCGACTTTGACTTAAGGTTTGGGTCGTTTTTTACGACTACAACCCAAAGTTATGGATGTTTTATTCTACCCGACCTAAAATATGGGTCGTTTTTAAAAGACGACCTAAGGTTTGGGCTGATTTTTTTCACCTGACCCTATATTTATGCCATTTTATTCAACCAAAAATCTACTAGGGTTGACTCCAATAAATATATAAATATAATAATAACATTTAGTAGATACAAATATTGATGCTTGGTTACAAGATGTTTGCGCAAATTTGCTAAAATATATTATTAAATCAACCTCCATATATGACGAGGCCAAAAATAATATTGAATGTCTTCGCAAATTATAGAAACAAGATGGCTGTAACTACGGACATATGGACCATCAACAATTTAATTAGTTATTGCACCATAATTTCCATTATATTAACAATAAATGGAATTTAACTAACTCATTATTGTCTATTACGGAATTTGCTCACCCTCACACGGGTGAGGATATTAACGAACTAATAATAAAAATACTCGCGGAATATAAAATAATTGAAAAAATATCCTCCTTTACCCGTGATAATGGATCAAATATAGTTTCGGCGGGGAAACTAATTATTTTTTTTAATTCGTGAGACCTATAACACAAATTTTAACATAATACGATGTCTGTCTCACATTATTAATCTAATCGTAGAAGAAGAATTGCCAACGATTTCAATAGAATTGGAAATAGTTAAGTTGTATGTGAAAAACGTACATAAACTTCTTTGATGCAGGGTTTTGTCAATATTTGCAATTGTAAAAATCCGCTAGATGTGTCCACCAGATGAAATTCAAAATATCTTATGCTCAACAAAATCAATAAGGTATTATCGGCATATATTATTTAATTTTTTTTAATGTTTGATTCTGTAGAATATAGAAACCATTGTAAAATTGGGAAAACGGTTTACAATAATACCGAAGAGGTCAAATTGTTAAAAGATATTGAAGAAATTTTGCACCCATTTTATAAAATTATATGTAAAATTAAATTCATCAACTATAGGCATGCGCATGTATCATTATATCGTGATACAATGCAAACATTGTTGAAATGAAGAGTCAATGTTGTATATGTTTACTTTTTACAATCACATGTATTATAAATGAATTGTTATACAAAAAAAATAATTTGATAAATATTGTATCTTCTATTTTCTTTGAAATATGTTTTTGTGCAAATTTTGAGATATATTATTTATGAGTTTTGATGTGAGACACGGCATAACTTTTTCAACATCGATCATACCCTTCTTTGAATCAACTCCAATAAAATGGCATGAAGGTTTGGACATCTATTAGCTAAATCTCCAGGCTTAGGCAATATTTATCTGGCTAAAATATTAAGTTAGCTGTTTTTAAAAATGGCAAATCGAACTATTTAACAACACTATGCATGACGATGACTTTTATATTATTTTAATTACCCGTATCAATAATATATATATAAATTAACATTCCTTCTTTCTTTCTTTCTTTCTTTCCTTCCTTCCTTCCTTCCTTCCTTCCTTCCTTCCTTCCTTCCTTCCCTTTCCTTTCCTTTCCTTTCCTTTCCTTTCCTTTCCTTTCCTTTCCTTTCCTTTCCTTTCCTTTCCTTTCCTTCCCTTTCCTTTCCTTTCCTTTCCTTTCTTTCCTTCCCTTCCCTTCCCTTCCCTTCCCTTCCCTTCCCTTCCCTTCCCTTCCCTTCCCTTCCTTTCTTTCTTTCTTTCTTTCCTTCTTTCTTTCCTTCTTTCGTTTATAGCTATCTATCATTAAAATATAACAAAAACATTACACTGAGAATGTAATTTTTTAAATATTTCTTGATTTTTATTACATTATATCTAAAAGAAATTGAAAATAATACTAATTGTTTTATGGCATTTTTGATTCATCATATATAGAATGAAAATGATAATAAAATAGCTGTTATAATACTAAAAAAACTTTATTTAAATTTAAATTACTATATCTGAAAAATTTGTCGCCAAAAGTTATGAGATTAATACATTTTATCCCATAATAACCATAATGTATATTGCAACCTAATCTATACAAGTAGCTGCATATATAAAACATGTTATTGCTAATAAAATAGGAACCCTCAAATGTACATAATATTTATTTCCTATTATACTTTAAATTATTTATTGTCCAGTATAAGTAAGATAACAAATTTGCGATTTTAAATAAAGCAAGCAATAAAGACAAAATTAATACTCTCCAACGTATTATCATAGGGTAGTGTGATAAATAACACTAACGAAATTATAATGGCTTGTTATATTTATCCTATTAAATATCATTAAGATAATCCCTAACCTGCCCCATATATAATTAGTTTATAACGGGTCCACTGTAGGTCTTCCCGAATCATAAAAGTCTTTTAGTAAAGCACTTATTCATGGTATGACAAATACCTTAAATGTTTTACTCTTTAACAAAGAAGTTTATTACTTGACTAAACAATGCACTTTAATATAAATAGGAAATCTGGACTCATGTACAACTGGTCTGGTCTGGTTTATAGGATTTTTTCCCATTTCCCGCCCCACTCTAACAATAAATATCCTTATTATATGTGCAACACGCAATATTTTAATGGAAGTAAGCAAGGAAGAAAGTAGATGGAAAGAAAGAGAAAAATACCATTAAATTTATTTAAAATAACGAATGAAAAAGACATTTTATTTCCCAAACCTATAATTAAAAAAAGGCCTACATCCAAGAAATCGATCCCTATAACGGTATCCCCGAGATGGAATTTGACGATGTTTTATATCAGAAATCCTTGGAAATCGAACCCAAAGATGCTAAACAATTGCCTAAATTTGTGAGTAAAAATATTCATATCATAATTTATTCCTAAAAATTTCTATTTATTCGTCTGCGTTATAAATACATTTTTTTATGATTATAATGGAATTAAAAAATGAATATTACATGAAAATATCGTGGATATATGTAAAATATAGAATTATGTATAGAAGGCAATTTAAAATGAACGCGTAAAATTTATTTAAAAAGAAGAGTTGTGTCCCCGAATGTGGGTTAAGGAATTTTAAACTATTTAGCGAAAATTTTGAGAACATGATCTCAATTGAAGCCGATTTTTTTTAAAGAAGTCCGAACCCGCGTCGGTTCTATATTACTTTGGGGTTGATGGGTTGCCCATAAGTCGGTCTCTGTTTGGTCTATGGTCTCAAAATGTCCCACCAAACAATTTTAAATTTCTAACGAATTCGGGTTCACCATCATGATAGAAAGTTTATAATCATAACTTAAATTATTTTCATACTAATATATCATTGGCTGAGTATTATACTGTTCTATATCTACTTTTTAATATTTAGTAGCAGATCACAATATAGAATTGCAAGAATTATTCTAAAATAAACATTTTTATTGTGGATATATAAGTTTATAGTACTGAAGAATTAATTTATCAAGGAAAAAATGCATTTTGAAAAAAAAATGTGTATATAGAACAATATATTACCCAACCTTACATTTGGGAAAAATAACAGTAATTTTGGAATGTAAACTGAATATATTATGGTGCGCACAATTGAAAGTTTCAAACGCTGTCTTGAAAATACAAACAATGCATTTCAAATGGCATCGTGCAAATTAATAAAATTACCTTTTGGCGTTAGCAACCATTTTAAAAAACGCAAAAAAAGTTTGCTTTTTTCAATACTTTTTTATTCTTCATTTTTGTAATATTATACAAAATGTTTAAAAAAAATTAATTTACCTATATCCTAAAATGGAGTATTTAGAAATTAAAGAAATAAAAAGGCAGACGATAATTTAATTTTAAAAAACATAATCTTCACAAAACGCAAACGCTCAATTAGTGCGCACTATTATTCTTATGCTTTATATATTTTTTTTAATATTCCATCTTTTTTTCATATTTCTCATAGGCCTCTTTTATAGTAATCGCTCAATTGCTGGGTTTTTTTCAAAATCAAGCAAATATTAAGTAAAATTTATAATTGACTGCGCGATGCGATGAAATGAATTGCATCGCTATGAAAAATACCCGCCGATGTCTGTCGCTACTCGGGCTAACTATAAATGAGGCATTAGAGCGATATCTATAGTCGGACTTGGCGTAATTCTGACATCTTCAGAAATCTTAATCGGATATTTTTATTTGATTTATTTGAAAGAATGACATCTGTCATGTAAGATTTTTCTTATATCTAACTTATAGAAAAAGGATAGTTCCAAAAAATATTAATTTGATTATATTTAAGTTTATATTGGCATTTTTTTCAGGGATTATTCTAATTCTTTTTTTTTAGTATATATTTATACTTTTAAAAGAAAATTTAGAAATTTTTTATCAATCCAAACAAAATTTATAAAGTTTTTAAAAAGTGGAAGGGATAATATGATAGTTGTTGTTTTTGAAAATTAAATTTGCCATCTTTAAATGGGTATCTCCCAGTGTTGTTAAACGGCCCGATTTGGATCGATTTTTAAAAACGTTCCGGGTAAGACTTTAGTCAAAATATTACTATGTAAGCCTGGAGATTTGGCTCATAGATGCCAGAAAGGTTTAGACTTCTTTTTGCCAAATCTCGAAGCTTTTATCTTATTATTTTGGCTAAGATCTTAATCGGGTCCTTTAACAACACTACTGTCATCTCTGCAATCGTTCGGGCAATCCAAAATTTTTTTTAAAAATGTTTTCCTAAATTCATGATAGTTTTTAATTGTCCCTTTAATATTTCATTAATCTTTTCATTTTATTATTTGTGATTAAAATTTTATTTTAAATATGCTTCTTTGTTATCAATTCAAGTCAAAGGTTTTCTAATTGAAAAAAAAAATTTCCCATTTACTTTTTCAAAAACTCAGCCAAGGAAGTTCGAGAATTTACCCACCCTAAAATCTCCCGGTATTAAGACTCTCAAACCACAGCACCAACAACAAAACCAAGCTGTTTTAAAGAGCTCAAATCTCCCAAGCCACCGCCATAATTCCTTATCCCCTTCTTCCCCGCGGGCTCATTCCGCTTCATTGGATGTATCGCGCGATTCATTGATGGATACCAAGGCACCAAATAATTTCAAAAAACTGTTTTTCAAAAGGAGGTCTTCTGGAGGAGGTCTTAGTAAAAAGTCTATTATGAATCACTATAATAACGGTGATCTTGCCAATCGCAACGGCCACGGCGCGAATAAGTACAACCCGAATAAAATACGTGACGAAGCCTACGAAACATTTGATAGCCCTGTCAGTCCTACGGGATCTACTGTTCCCTTATTAGCTAACGGTAATATATTTTATAAGGTTTTTTTTAAAATAAATATTTAATATTTTAAAAAAATATCCTGACTTTTCTAATCTCAAATAGTGAAAATAGAAATCGTTAATCTACTAAAGGTTTCCGAAACACATATTGCATTTTATGTGTTTTTGGCTTCATAAAAACAGTGACGCTATATCCACGGGAGAAGCGGGGGGGGGGGATGACAATTTTCACCCATATACATTTTTCTCAAGGGATATTTAATTATAAAAATGCCAGGGGTGGAGGGTGTTAGAGGGGGAATCAATCTCGGCATGTTGCCTTCAAACAGTTTTCTCTCTGAAAATTCGATAATTTCTGGCCCATGTCTCTTTGTCCGTAAATATAAAATTATTTTATATTTTAATAAGTATCTAATTAATTAAGTTATAGTATATTTCAATTTTTTATTTTGAATAAAGCTCTGCACAATTCCTTATCACCATTCTCGCCTCATTTTCCTCTTCCAAGTACTGACTCTGGGGCTATAACATCAATCCCTTCTCATATTATAACAAGTGCTCAATACTCACCACCTTTATCTCCGCTCAGTAACTCTGACACACTATACCATCCATTTTTTACTTTTCCTAGACACTCTACAATTGTCACGGACAATAACTATCCACCAATAAATAGTTCTCAAAAGTAATATTTGGACATATTTTGCATTTTATATTCAAACATTTAATTCATGCAATCTTTGTAAACCGATTCCAGAACCGGTTTTAAAATCGTAAATAATTTATATTAGCACCCGGCCCAAACCGGCGCGTAAATAATTATTATCCGTGATTTCGGCTTGTCATTTGTTTAACCTGACCTGACCCATAAAATATATTTATAAATTATCCGGCCTGGCCCTTAATATTTTTTTTGTGAAAACTATATAAATTTGCCTTAATTACCAGCTTTAAAAAACATTACAAAATCCTTGGCCCAACTCGGTTACGCTATTCGTTTTAGCCCCGTAATGTTATGGGGGATTTATTTTGTTTTAATTCCTTCTAACGATGTTTAAAAGTTGGGATTCTCAGAATCGCTTAAAATTAAACGGGAAGTAAAACCCAATTTTTATTTTTTGGGATCATTCTTTTTTTGAAGATCAGGCTCCAAAACTCTCATCATAAATTAAGCAAACTTTATATAATTTTTCCGAAGTTCTACTTAATTTCCCTCACTGTCGAATTTAAACCCAACTCTTAAAAATTAGTACAGCTACTTTATTATTATTTTTTTTAAAAATGCGATTTTTACGCTACAATAAGCTGAGCTCAAAATATCAAAAAATTTGATTTCGAAAACTTTCCAAACTTTATCGAAAAAAAGAAATATGCTTCTTTTTTTAATAATTCTAGAAAATTTTTATAAATTTAACAATAAGATTTCAATAAAATTTTAAAACTTCTGAAAGTATTAAAACTTTTGGAATTTTTTATAAAAGATTTTGGACATTAATGGAAAAATTTACTTACGTTTACTATTTGATTTCTTAAAGAGACGCGGGGAGTCGAACAAAACTGTATGTAGATTAGAATTAGATGAGAACCAGAATTTCGAACCTGGTCAATAAAATCTGGGTTTCATTCTTAAAATTTTTAAAAAAATGAGTTTTACGGTTCTGTTTTTTTGACCTGGTTCCAAAGATTCCAAACTCTGGGTTAAACTCTGTTAAAGTAAATTTTAAAAAAAATTTAAACAATAAATATAATATATAAATAATTTTAAAAACCGGTTTCCGAATATTTTAACATCGGTTCGGTTTTTTATAAATATTTAAAAGAGGGTTCCTATTCTTAGGTTTACTCAACTGATTAGAATTGTCCTTATATAATAAACTGCATAAAATAGTTCTGTAATCATATCTTAAAATATATTGTTTTTAAAAAAAAGTTTACAAATATCCGAATATGATGTCCAGCACGATACGGGAATCGTTGATAATCAATATGATCTTATAGTGATGTCACCTCCTCCTATCCTCCCCAGACTTCCTTCCGTGCCTCCACCATTGCCACCAAAAACAGAAAGGATGGCTCAACCGTTTACGAACAAATATGCTCAAGCTACTCAACAAAATTTCGTTTTGCCTCCACCTCGAATACCCCCTCGTAAAAATTCGAGCATTAAAAGCAAAAGTCGTCGAAAGGTGAAAGAAAAATCCCCTCCATTACCTCCTATTTGAAAATAAATAATAACCTATTTTTTTTGGTTAAGCGAAGATGCTACATTATAAATTATGTCATAATTGTTTAAACCTATCACTAATAAACTGTGTAATACCTTCAAAATCGAATTTTCCCACCCGAGCCCGCTCGACAACAAGCCTGGCTTCTTGCGGCCCGCGGTCTGAATTTAAAAAAAAACATATACGGATCTCAAACTCGAAATATTTATTTTACTCTCTATTCCATTCTTACGCATCAAATTTAAATAAAATACTTATCTATTTTATTCCTTTATTACAAAATATGATGTAAACAATGAATAGTAAAAATATTTTCCATCTCCTGATTTTTTTCATAAAAAATTTATTTTATAATCAATCTCGATCATTCAAAGATTAATATTTTTAGAGTCACGGGTTGGACTTAATTTTTTTGGCGAAGTTACCACCAGACTGATGGGTGTCATTCATGACTCTACTTAGAGTGCCATTTTTAAAAAATCTATTAAAATTATACATTATTATATTTTTTTGAATCTTATCGAATTATATGGTCATTACATTAAACAATACATATTATTTATTTTTTTATAACCACAATTCCGCCCTTCCATTGTTTCATAATTTTTTAACCCTCCCATTTGCTCATGGTTTTTTTATATGACATTTATAAAAATAGAAATTCTTCCAAAAAATAAATTTATCGACCAACAGTTATTAAACCGTTTATTCAACATATTAAGTTTTTAGTCATAAAATATTTATATAAAATTATATTTTCAAAAAATTTTTTGCTATCATCTCTTTTTATTATTTTATTATATTTTCTTTTTTTTAAATAATTTGTTTGAATGAAATATTTTTTTAAACCAAATTTAATAAGGGAATATTCTGACGAGTGTTTAAAATATAATGAATATTAATTAAATTATGATATTAATAAGTTATGAAGTTTTTTAAAGAAAATAAAAAATGAAAGCATACATATAATTAAATTGAATTGGAAATTAAGACCTCTCTATTACACATGGGAAGAGAGTATGTATTAAAAATTATTATGTTAGAGAAAAGTATAAGATGCTAATACAAGGATGTTAACCCAAATAAGGTTCAAGAATTTTAAACTAGCGAAAATTTTGATAACAGGAACTTAATCGAAACTTATATTTCTAAAAGGGTCTGAACACCCATCCCTTCTCCCGTTTCCTTGAGTTCGAGGGTTGTTCATAAATTGGTCCCTCTGTGATTTCAAAATATCCAACCAACAATTTTAAATTCTTGAATTCTTTTTGGGGTTATATCCCTGTACTAATCAGACATGAACATGTTGAAATAAACTATGCACAGTGGGCAAGCATTCATTGTTATTTTTCAAAAAAATATGGAATATAGAAAAATATTAAGAATTAAAATTGTGATAATAATGATTCATATTCATTTTAAAAATATGTCAGGAATACAAACTAATATTTTTTTATCCGTTAACCAGTTATTTAAATTTTTTTAGCCCATCCCCCGTAAATTGCCTGGCTGGTTTTAAAATAAGTCAACATACATGAATTCCTGCCTAGTTTTTTTATTTAAATTTTCAATATTTTATGACCCGGTTCATATTTTCAAAATTTCATTATTTTAAATGATTTTGGTTGTATTTTTTAAAACATTGAATATATAATAAGGGAATTGATTCCTAAACATATAATTTTTCAATTGATATAATTTATTTTTTAAAATAGCTAGGATATTATATAAAAAAAAAATTTGCATCACCTTATAAATCGATCTAGGTTCGAATCCAGGAAGGGCTGGTTTTTATCAAGTTAACCTATATAGTTTTGTGCTCCAGGATATGATATATAATAGATTTATAAATGACCGCATATTTTCGTTGGTCTTTTACAAACAGAATGTTTTTCAAAACCATTTTTAAAAGGCATATTTATATTTTTTTATACGCTTAAATGGCGCCCGAATTCGTTCGTATTTTTAAAAAAAATATTGTAATAAAAAATAATTACTGGAAATATGTTACAAAAAGTGTTTGGTAAAAACAATCTGGTTGAAAAAGGTCTTATTAGTTATTACTAAACTATAAAATATATTTTGGACGTTGTTTAGTGAATTGCTATAAGATAACCAGCGTCATATATCTATACCCGCCTGAATTATCGATAATGTTTGAAACTAGGGATCTCTCACATTTTAAATGTGAAGCTTCTAACATTATTAATATTAAATTAAGTAATTTTTTTATATTTAATACCATATCTTTACTTGCTTTTAGTTTCTGAAACAAAAGATATAATTGATAATGACAAAATATTTCATCCTGAATTTACCCATCAAATATTTGGAGAAAGGTTTTGCTTTTCAAATTGATTGTTTATTTTACTAATATATAGTGAATCTATATTTGGATATAAAGATCTTAATATAAATTTGTATTATTGTGCACATTGTCTTTATACATATTTTGACTTTACATATGAACTTATTATTGATTCAAAAAAATATGGAGTTGAAGTATATTCATTTTATATCTATATAATTTTATTTCAAATTTCTCAATAAATTTTTTTTACAAGCCTGATGATATCAATAGCCTACTTTTACCGAAAATTAATAATGATTTTACTAATAACATGCAAGAATTTAAAAGTCATATTTCTAAATGTAAAAAATCCCCATTTGGTATCTGCATAGATTCATTCAATTCTAAAGGTCTATAATATATGATCATAACAAATATTAAAATTACTTAAATGCAGCATAATATTTAGGTCATTAGTTAGTTCTATTCATTCTAGGTCTAATTTTAAAATAGGCACGAAGGAATAAATATGTTTTTTAAATTTTATAGTAAGTGACAAAATAAATATAGATTTCTTTAGTTAATTCCATTTTATTTTTATATAAGAAAATGGGATTAAACAAAAAATCTTTTTTTTTTGGCAGTAAATTATTTTTATAAACCCTTTCCAACACTTATAAATAGATCAAATTATTAAAAAATTTAGCAGGCTATTTACCCAAACAAAACGTTTTTATTTTCAAAATAGAAATGATAAACACGACCTATATTCTTCTAAGCTTAAACTATTAGCTTATGTTTATTTATTTTTTTATCATTTTGGAATAAGAAAATGTCCAATAGAAAATATTTGAGAGAAAAGCATATCAACTTTGTCATTTTGATGAAAATGTCATTGGAATGACTATCAAGTACTCAATGATGAATGAGTTTAAAAACTATTTTATACCCTTTTAATTAATGAAAGAATTTTCAAGTTTTACCCCCTTATGAATTGTTCCAAAAATCTGTAAAAAATATTGATAAAATTTAGTATAGATTTTCCTCAAAACTAAGTTTAAGAAAAACAACAGAAAGAATAATTTTTTTAAACACATACCATACTGTCAAGTATGTAGTTCTTTATTTGTGCCAAAATGGGTGCTGATAGTTTTTTTATTTGCACCATAATATTTCCATATGTCTGTTTTTTTTTGGATTGTACAGGATGTGGGAATATTTTCAGGAATAACTAGAACTACAACCATCTTTTGAAGTACATCTTGAACCATTCTTAGTTCAGGTTTTAAACTCTGATCTACATAAAATAATAAAATTCCATCTTTTTTATAAACATAATTTTGCTTACCACATAAAATGATATTTTTAAAAAAGGATGTAAACCTTCCTCTTTTATTTTCTAAATAATTTAGAAATTATTTTTTTTAAAATTATTTCAAATTTTGTTTTAAATAGTAAATATTTGAATTTAGGCATGGTGGGCAAGCTTTTACTCTTCAACAATGCCACCAATTATTTTAATATTTGAAGCATAATAATTTGATCAATTTTTTTTATTGATTAATAGTGCACACAAATTGAGCGTTTCAAACACTGCGTTGCAAACACAACATTTTAAATTAGTTCCTAAAAAAGGATTTGTCTTTTGAAAATTATATTTCTGCGTTTTTATTTTTTTAATTTCTAAATATTCCTTTTTAGGATATAAGCAAGATATTTATATTACATTTTATATAATATTACACAGCGAATAATAATCTAATGGCAAACTGTAATTTTACCAATTTGCACAAGGTCATTGGAAATGCATTATTTGCGCTTGAAACACTCAATTTGTGCTCACTATAACTCTTTACTGTGTTTCACTTTTTAAAACTTTACACTTATTGTATTAGGATAGATGCATATTTCTTAGGTTTTATCATAATAAAAAGTCAGAATCCACAAGAGTTATATTTATTTTGTTACCTGCAGATGATACCTAAAACTCATAATTTGTAATACAATAAAACATTGTTGACAAATAAACTAACACTGGAATATTTTTTTTGCTCACAAATCAATATAAAAATTTACAGTAATTATAGGGGAGTGGAGGGGCCTAGTATCTAAAATATAAAAATAATTTATAATCGAATGTAAAAATTAAAATCAGGTAAATCATATGAAACGTACATGATCCAATCAGACGAAAATATGCATCATCAGACGAGTGATTATAATTTAGATTTCTACAATTATTACCAAAGACTGCAAATTTTTACGTTATGGTACATTGACGCTGCATCTTATATAGATTTATCTGATTCTAGATGGCGCTTTTTCATGCTGTAAAATTGTAAATTTTTACATAATATATTATAATATAACAACTTAAGTTTTTTATTTAAAAAACTCTTTTTTCCTCTGCCTGATTTATTATAATATTTATACTCGGAAGTTCTAAATCGCTAAAAAAATTAAGAATCTCGCTTATATCTCCTAGAAAAATTTCAGAGTAAATTTGAAATTGATATTAACAGAGACTAGTGAAGTAAACATTTGTAATTAAGTTGATTATATAAAAAAAATCGGAATTTTAAACGGGAAACTTATACTTATCGATTTACAAGGTACGAGACAATAAATATCGAAAATGCCAATCAATTCGTCGATGATAATGATTCTCCTCCAACATCACTACCCCACTCGAAAAAGCTTAAAACATTGCTCTCTAGTGGCGAATCTTCTGACAAAAAATATGACATAGTGGGTTTTGCCAACGTCTATGAATATTTCGCCTACCCAAATAAAATAAGGCCCAGGATTAGCCAATTCTTGGTGATGCCTATGCACACTAGATTATCCCTCGGCACGAAACTTTTGAGACAGATCTATAGTTTTTACAGGATAGAACATGGAGTAACGGGGATTAATGGACATGATGCTACAAACACACAAAATGGTGTCTATGAATCTGACGACCATATTAGTGTCAATGATCATGAAGTGGTCGACATTGCTAGTAAAAAAAATTCTAAATAAAAATTACTATATGTAAGAAAGCCATATTAAATGGAATAAATTTATTTTGATAGAAAATTCTATCGCCTTTATCTTTGTATTAAATTAGCTTTAATTAACGAATAAAGTTTATTAATAAAATAATTTAAAATCAAACTCGTAATTTATCAATTTTTTTATATAATATTTCAATAAAATCATGCAGTCGAAACTCCTTCTTACGAATTTAATTTGATGAGAGATTTTGTGGATTGTGAAGACCTATTAACTCTTTTAAAATCTTTTCCTATCCCAAATGATTACCAATCAAGCATTGTTTTAAACAACAGTAATTTTGGAAAAATAATAATCAATGATGGTCTCTTGTCCATGGTACACGACAAACTGAAATTGAACAAAGTTAATAGTATTAAATATTCAATTTTATAATTATCCTGGGTTTACATTATAGAAATTTCATGCGATGATTGCTAACAATGGGTTAGAAATACTAAGGATCCTAACCATATATTTTCATAAATTTTATATTAAATTGTAAACATAATCAATGTACCCTAATATAATCAAGTGTAGTGTTGCAAAATAGTTTTATTTATGCCGATTTTTAAAAATGGCTAACTCAATATTTTAGTCATAAAAATATTATGCAAGCCGATTTTGCTCATAGATGGCACTATGATTTGGACATCTGTTGGCTAAATCTAGAGGCTTAGGTAATATTTTTCTGGCTAAAATATTAAGTTAGCCATTTTTAAAAATCGGCTCAAATGTAGCGATATGAGATCGTGAGAATCAAGGCCAAATTGTGGCATCAGGCACTGGCATTAAATATTACTTTAAAGATATAATGTCATCATTTTTTTGTTACGCATCGAGAAAAGTACCACTTTATAATCATTATTGTCCAAAAAATGGTAACTAATCATAATGTAGGTGAATCAAACTTGAGAATAGTAATATTTTTAAAAACCGATCATAATTTTGATTTTTATTCCCCCCTTGTTATAATAATTCACAATTTTTTTTATTATATTACTTTTTAGAAGCAAATAAGCAAAATTATTGACATTCTTAACCTCTATTTTATTCTTCGTTGTCCTCATGAATCAAAAGCAGACGAAAAAATCAATGTTTACAAAACTGAAATGAGGGATAAAATGATGAAGCCCTTTTTGGTTAGTTTCGATAATATTAAGTTTTTTAATTTTACCAAATCTTATAATTTTTCATCGACACAATTTTCATTTTTGTAGGGTTCAGATATAGTTGGGTAATTGGTATCTACATTAGCATTTTATAAAGATATTCTTAATGCAGCTAGTGTTGTTAAATGGCTCGATTTGAGCCGATTTTTATATAACGCCAACTCAATATTTTAACCAGAAAAATATTATGTAAGCTGGAAGATTTTGCTCATAGATGGCACAAGGATTTGGAGGTCGCGAAATCTCGAAGCTTAATCAATATTATTCTGGCTAAAATATTAGGTTAACCACTTTTAAAAATAGGCTCAAATCACATTATTTAATAATATTACCAGCCTCCTCTTGTAATTAGGAAATAACCACTTTGCCACTACCCAACTATAGAGTTTGAATGGACTTTTTTCTAATTTCCAGGGATGGTAAATTTTTTTTAGTTAATTAATAACTATATTGATTCTTTTAAACTATTCATATAAAAAAATATATTTAAAGAAAGAAAATGAGAAGCTAGCTAAATTTAAAGCGACTATATTAACCAAAGTGGAATTACAAGATAAAGTAGAGGATATATTTAAGGTGGCGTACAAGGAGTATCAAATTATTGCGGACAAACTACTTCTTCACGAAAATAAATGATATATATTTATATTATGATTTTTTTATATAAAAGGATAATATATATTTTTTTAATAAATTATTTGTCAAACATATGAATTTCTTTTTTAAAACTATTTTCTTAAAGGTCACCTCCAATATAAACATTATAAACATCCACCCATCAGCTCTTAATCATAATTATTTTTAAATACATAAAACAAAATAACTTAATACCCATTGTCCATAAACTTCTCTGAATACCAAATGCAGATAAAAAAAATAGAGCATCCAGGAAAGAAGCCTATGAAATAATTTTTGATGGGGAATAATTGAAGAATGTATTAAAAGGAAATGCCCTAATGATTATAAATATTTGAATTTCTTTTTTTGCAAAATCTTTAAATATCCTTAAGAAATTTAATTTTTTTAAAAAGTGTTAGAGATAGAATTTATGGTGTGGATATATATCTAGTGCAAGATATTATTAAACAAATGTTTACGGTTTTGTGAAAATATATTATTATCTATATAATTTTGATTAAATTAAGCAAATTATATATATAATATTGTAATTATGCATATTTTCTCAATTTTACATGAAAGTAATGTTTAAATCTTTATTTTCATTTATTGCTTTGTTGATTGCTTTTAAGTTTTGGCTTGAGCAACTGGTCATTGGATCAACAAAATTTTATTATTAGCAATTATACTCAATTATGCTGCCATCTTGATAAAAAACTAGTTAAAAAGTCAAGTTATTTGATATAAATTATATTCTTTATATAACTAAATTTAGTCCATATCTTATTTGTTTTGAATGGAGGTGAGTATAGGTGGATACTTTAAATTTTAACTAATGCCCAAATATAAGTGACCTGACATTAAAGCCAATTGATTAAAAAAAATAAAATGATATATATATATGTCGTATTGGGATTCGGAATCCGTGGGGATTCGGAATCTCTTGATTTTAAATCCTTTACCGAGAGCGATTTAAAAATTTTTAAAGTTGATTTAACCGGAAATATATTCTAGCATGGGTAGAGTACCCAAACTGTAAATTTCAAACAATTTTGCCATGAACTTTAGAACCACTTCTAATTTATATTAATTTTTATATGGATTTTTCATATAAATTAAAAAATACTAAAATGTCCATCGCTGAAATTGGCTGAAATTTATAGGGTAAATACTCTGCACATGCTGGAATACAATTCCTGTGAAATCAGATGTTTAAAATCCAAAAATCGCTCTTAGTAAATGATTTAAAATTGAGAGATTCCGAATCCCCACGAATTCCGAAACCCCATACGACATATACAAATTTCTAAAAAAAAGATAAGAAAGACTTTTTTTTGATATTGTTGCAGCTAGGTCAAGAAATAATAAATCTGTCTAATGAAAAAGATTTTCAGCGACTCAATCTATTATTTAATTTTCAAACTATAATTAAATGTAAGTTTTTCCTACAAAATGTGATAGATGTATATATTATATTACAATTGAAACAAAATTAACATGGGATTAGATAAATATTAGAAATATATATTAGGATATACATTCTAAAATCAGTATCACTATTTTTTCTAAAATTTTTAATTTTGTGTAGTTATTTATTTTGGAATTTTGTTTTTTTATTATCATTTATATTTCATGGATATATTTTTTGTCATACTTTTCTAAATGTCAAGCGTAGAAAAAAATCCCAAATTATATTTTCATTTCATAAGTCATTTAAAAAATTTTTAAAATGCATTTTTAAGTGTCGTTGAATGCAAATCAGGCTGGAGATCAGGTGACACGCCATTTTGGTAACCTATATAGAATCCAGAATATTTTAAATTATTTGCATTTTGTCTGCTTAAAAACATATTTTCTTGTGAGAAAGCCTTGGAATAATTGTGAGATAGGTTATTATTTTACTTATCTTACACAAGATGACGTCACCAATTGATTTGCATTCAACTAGGCTTAAAAATGCATTTTTACAAATAAATCGCCAGTCTAGGTTAAAATTTAAAAATAGGTCATTACTTTCCAAACTTTATTTCATACGTAATAACGATTGATTCTCAAATGAATGATATTTTCTAAATCCATGTTGTGTAAGTGTTTTATATTATGTATCACCTAAAAAGGCATAGTTTTCAGTGTTTGTGACGATGTCACTATTATGAGATAGGATAAAGGATTAGCATATCCAATCTTTTCTTCAAAATATAAATTTTAGCAAGGCATAGCCTTAATTAAGAACCGCTATATTTCGTATTTTCTTTTTTAAGAAAAAAATAAGATTCACTTTTTCTAATATCTCATTTATTTTAAGCTATTTTGGGTAGAGTTTTTTACAAAAATATGCTTGTAATTTGTGTTGTTAAAAGGCTCAACGCTAACTAAACATTTTATCCAGAAAAATATTACGCAATCTGATGATTTTGCTCATAGATGCCACATCTTTTTTAATAATTGTGAATCGCAAAACAAAAATTAAAAACGGAAGTTGCGTTTAAAATGTTTAATTATGTAATTAATTCTAGGGAGGAAGAACAATTGAACATGGTGATGCACATATCCATGTTAGTTATTTTTGTTTTAAAAAAAATTTCCCTTTTTTCTTTGTATAAGTTATGTTTATGTTTTCTCCATCAGGGAAATTTTGATAATTTGTTTTTTATATATATTGGATTTATCTATTTTTTTGTTTATAAAATTTTTACGCATCAGATTTATTAATTAAATAATTGTTAGTTTTTTTTACACAAAGCATTAAAGATCCAAAAAATAAATAATTTTTTTAAAATAAAAGTCGTTCTGATAATATAACCATACCATCCGAATCACTTTTGATTAATTGCAATCCCAAAGAATGCCAACTTAAAATTTTCATAATTCTGGTAATAGATCGTCAATAATACTAATCACCTTTGATCGATTTTATCCTAAAGAATACCAACATGAAATTTCAATATGGAGATAAATCGTCAATAGTTAAAAAAAATGCCTAGCGATTATCAAGCTGATGTACATATAAAATATGACCGTCTTTTCAAGCTAGTGATCAAACCAACGAATGCGTCAATGGAGCATACCGTTTAGCCAGATAGTGTTGGAACAATATAATATGATCGTTGACCTTTGCATCTGACTTTATTGATGATAGATCGACAAGTATTCCATTGACGTCGAATGACGATATCATAGTCATTATTCTCATAATATCAATACTTCACGCCATGACCAAAAGTATAATCAAAAAAACCCTTCTCAGTAATTATTTAAAATATTCTGTAATATTTTATGTATAACATACGACATTATTGTTTAAATATTTTATAGATATTATATAATTTTTTTCTTATGATATTTTATAAATAGTTACATACATTTATATATATGAAAGCCCAATATTGTTGATTTGTGAAAAAAAGAAAATATTTTTATTAAAACTAAATGACAAACTTAATTTTTTTATAATAGTTTTCATCTTCGAAAGTATGATCATACTTTTATTCAATTTTTTTTTTGATGAAAAAGAAGTTCTTTTTTTATGTTTAAAATTTGTGACTTTGTTTTGTAGTTTAATATAAAATTAATAAAAACAAAATTTAAAAATCGTCATATGTCATTCAAACCATAAGTTGTAAGAAATTAGACTACGTCTATCTTAGAATTGAGATTTGTTAAAGTGGTAGAGTAGAGTAAGAAGTTAAATTAATTATATCTAAGAGTAAGTTAGAGAATTTAGATAGTGATATATATATTCATTGTCTAAGCCACAAAATTATTAAAATTGAACATGTTTGATATTTTAATTGTTAATATTAAAATATTAGTTACGGTTATAATTAACCCTTATATATATAATAATTGTTTGCAACGTCTGTATCTCAGTTGTTATAAACGTTGATTTAGGAATCACCTTAGAAATTGATCTAGATAATAGATTTGAAAGTGACCATATGTTTTAGTTAATATATAGTAAAATAAAATGTCCTAGGTTATTTACAAACAGAATATTTTTTCAAATTTCAAGGCATGTTTATGTTTTTTTGATTAACGCTTAAACGGGGCCCGAAATACCTAATCGAATCTGTATTTTTAAATAAATATTATAATATATGATAAAAAAATTTACCAGAGACATGCCTCATAAAACGCTTTGTTCTTGTTGGAAATTTTTTTATTAGATAATACTATAAAATATTAATGTTCGACTTAGCCTAAAATCTAGTCAAGTTTTGAGTCGCAAAACTCATATCAATTTTAGCGTCATGAGCCGCATGAGTCGGCTCGATGAGTCGGCTTCAGAGTCGTCTAAGGTTTATTTTGAATCGGCCTGCTATTATTATTTACTCCACGATAAATATATTAAAAAAATTTAACCCCTATGGTTCGAAAATTTAAATATTTTTAAATTCGAAATCTATTATTTTAAGAATATGACCATGTTATTATTAATATTATCTAAACCCCGACATTTCGCTGATAGATGTCTAAACTTTTGTGCCATCTATGACCACAATCTTAAAGCTTACATAATAGCTTTCTGGATAAAATGTTGAGTTAGCCGTTTTTAAATTGGCTCAAATCGAGCCGTTTAACAAGACTACCTATACAATTATTTAGAATATATATAAAAGATTTTTTTTTAAAAAATATTCAGACCTGGGTATGATTTTTTTTAAAAAAATATTCAGACCTGGGTATGATTTTTTTATAAATATATTATAGGGGAGACCGGGGTTATATTGTCCATAAAAAATTGAAGTGCTATAAAAAATAGAGGAAGCAATTTTTCCAAAATGTTTAAACGTAGTTTTAATCTTTACATATATCTCTATGGTAGAAATAAAAAAATTTATATAAAAATATTAATTCTAATTAAATAAATAGAAATAAATTGTCAAATATGTTAAATTTATTAGGTTCATCTATATTATATATATTAGCCGGAAGAACTTATTATCACTTAAAACTGTCATATAATTTACAAAAAATAAGTCAATCATCTTCATAATGTCATTCGTGGCCCAAGAAAAACTAGTGGCTTTTAAGGTTTTGATAAATTTGGTCGAATTTTTTTTATTCAAGATAATCCCTGCTTAAAAATGGCTAAAAGGTACCCCGCCAAAACCAAAACCTGCCCCATATCTTCAAAATATTAAAATTTAATTTGAAGATATTAAATTACCACAAATATTGTCAATATTTTTATATATGATAGAATGGAGATTTTTTTATCATTTAGAATTAATATTAAGTCTTAAAACGAAGAAATAAAATATAAATTTTTTAGAAATAAAATGGAAATATAATTTTTAATTTTAAATAAGAAAAAAAATTTTATAATAAAAAAAACCAGATGGGAAAAAATTAGTTATTAATAAATATTAAAAATAAATATAATATATTTTAAAAAAAATCCATCATTAAAAAAATAAGGGATTGATTTTATATTTTTGATGACTTAGTTTTCTTTTATTTTTTTAAATCCATCTGGGAAAATTTTTTTTTATAGCTTAACAAACATTTGATTTTTTTTTAAAGTGGTCTTTTAAAATATAGAGTACCATATAAAAGATAATATACAGTGTTGTGATGATTTAATGAAACATATTGACGATTAAATTAAAACGCAGCCATATAAATAAAAGTCTTTTTCTTGCATAAATAATGAAAATAACACATTTGCAATTTATAAAAAAATTTAAAAATAACAAAATATTAAACTACTATAAAAACCAAGTCAAAATATCTTCAGGTTTTTTCAAGATTATAAAAGTCGTGGGGTATTATTTACCCCTCCTTTGTAGGGAAGGGTATTGGAAAAATTTTTGAATGAGTTAAAAAGTTCTAAATCGCGAAAACAAAAATTGATAAAAATTGGGAATCTCGCTTATATCTCCTAGAAAAATTTTTAAAGTAAATTTGAAATTAATATTAAGTTGCCAGGGGAGACTTGTATTTAAGTTAAAAATTTTAAAAAAATCGCTAAAAATGGAGGAAATATCCTCCATGTTCCCAGTTTGATACCCAAATTTGGAGAAAAAATTAATTTCTTTTTGGGCAAAGCTTAAGGTCAAATTATGATAATTTTTTAACTTATTTTTCATTGTTTATATTATTTTCTATTAAAGTTACCTTTCTTATATTTTTCGAGAATGACTTTGTGAAACCTTTATTTTATTTATATAAAAGATCAAAAAATATAAAATTTTCTATTCGTATTGCATTGCACATAATATAACGAAAAAATATATCTACATTATATAATAATCTTGTGTATACCTATTAAATTAATTGTTCAAAGGAATAGATCGGATTCCCTCTTCGATATATCGTATCGTATGTGAATAGAAGGCTGTGAAATCATAATTAGTGAAATTTAGCAAAAAGCTAGTAATTGCCTCGATTTTATGGATTCCGTTATTTGGTGTGGGATATATAGAGCGATATTGATTTTTCAAAACGCCAAAAAAATTTTCGATGGGGTTTAGTTGAGTGAAAGATATACTATATTTTGAAAACAAGAAAAAATCTTGTTCTTCTTTATATTAAATTAGATAGGGTGTAGTTCCACTCATTATGATAAAACACATCTAAGTTACAAGGTTTGTTGATTATATGGAGGGCGGGTCTACATATAATTCATATGCCCATGACCTACGTGCTAGATAAGATAAAATTAATTTTTAATTATAATCATAATGTATTTTTAATATTATATAATAGCCCTTTAATATTATATAATTTACTTTATTGAAAATAAGCCTAAATGGCTCTATAAAATAAAAATTGATCTTTTTTACTTTAAATTTTTTTGACATACACTCTACCTAATATTTGTAGAAATTCCTAGAGTGGACCAACAGTTATTACACTTTAAATATAAGTAAGAGAGATTGGGTTTAGTCGAACCGATTTTTACAAAATTGGCTATTACCCCTGTTTTTTTTAGATAATATAAATAATATATGAATAGACACTTAAAACTATGCTCTATAAAGATGCCTTATGAAATATTTTAAGAATATAATCATTTTTTTTAATTTTATTTTTTGTAAAAGTGAAAATTTTGTCCAACAAGCCCCAGCGGGGTGAGAAACCATTTCAAGAGGCTTCCTTAACCATTAATTTTTTAGGCCATAATAAATTGAAATGTTTAGAATAGTTTTCTCGTTTTATTGTTCAAAATATAATTGAAGCTAATCATATATAAAAATTGAAACTTAATTTTGGTTAATTTTAATTTAATGATTTGGATATAAAAAAATAAGGATCTTAAGGAGAGATTATGATTTCCTATTATAAATCCTAAATACCAATCATAAACAGCCTGAAATTACCTTTTCAAGAGAAATTTTATTTCTTAAATAAAATTTTTAATAATTAATTATTTAAAAAGATTTTTTGTCTATAGATGTAAACTAATAAAAATTATATTAGGATAAAATTTTAACCGTCTGGTGTATTTAATTTTAAAATGAGATTAACTGGATTGCCAAACCCCGGGGTTTACCTAACCCTAGTTTCCTCTAGTATGTATTAAATCTTATATTATACCATATATAAAGTATTTTATTTTTTAGTGGGCAATAACTTGAATAATAGCATAAAAACTAAAATCCGATTATTTTTCGTTTAAATTTTCCAGGAAGAATTTAAAAGTATATCAATTTAATGTAATGATATCATATTTAAAAATTATACCGGGCCCGAAAGTTTAAAAAATATTATACCCAGCCCGCTGAACCAACATAGTGTTGTTAAACGTCTCGATTTGAGCCGATTTTTAAAAACGGCTAACTCAACATTATAGCGAGGAAAATATTGCCTAAGCGTCGAGATTTCCCTAAAAGATGTTCAATCCTATGTGCCAGTGCCATCTATGAGCAAAATCTTTAGGCTTGCTAAATATTTTTCTGGATAAAATATTGAGTTAGCCGTTTTTAAAAATCGGCTCAAATTGAGCCGTTTAACAACAGTAGAAAATATACCCGGACCAGGTGGTGTTTTACAGATCCCTAATAGGAATACAATTTTTTATGCTACTCTATACTTTGTAAATGGTTCCAGATTCATCGTCTAAAAATGGATATAAATATAAATACATCTGTGATGCAAAATATCCCCATTTGAGCTTATTTTTAAAAATGGTCAACTAAATATTTTCCAAAAAAATTACCTAGCTTGAGATTTCTAGTTATGAGCAAAATCTTCAGGCTTGCATAATATTTTTGATGGATAAAATACTGAGTTAACCATATTTATAATTACTAAATACATCTTTTAAAAACGTATCTACATACCGATACATCAACTATTGAATATCAATACAGAAACTGACTTAAAATATTTATTGAGCTGATATCGCATCTATATACAAATATATATAATTAAGATAAATGATTGTTAGATTTTAATGCTCTGAGCCCATAATTTGGTTGTAAATTATACGACCAAGCAAATTAACACTATACATAAGTCATTTTGAATTTTAAAATATTTAAATTCTCGAACCATAGTGGTTAAATTTTTTAAATATTTTATCGTGGAGTAAATAATAATAGCAGGCGGATTCAAAATAATTTTTTTCCGACTCTGAAGCCGACTCATCGAGCCGCTCAATTTGAAATGAGTTTTGCGACTCCAACTTTAGTTCAGAGTCATAAAAACTCGACTATTTAACAACACTACCCGAAATACCAAATAGAATCTGTATTTTTTAAATAAATATTATAATATATGATAAAAAAAATTACCAGAGACATGCTTCATAAAACGCTTTGTTCTTGTTGGAATTTTTTTTATTAGATAATACTATAAAATATATTATGGACGTTGTTTAGTAAATTGCTATTCGATGACTTACGTCATATACCAATTCCCGCCTAACCCTGAATTCATAGTGAAGAGCGATTGCGATTTCGCCGCGAAATCGCAGCGACCGATCAGCTGAATCGATCGCAGCGATTTTCATTATAGTGCAGTGCAATGCGTTATTAATTCTAAATGGTATCCATCCTCAAATTATTATTTTTTACAGATTGATCTTGAGGAGGTGATTAAACCATCTTAATATTAATAAAATAAGAGGGCGAATTTTTTGTCCTCTTTCCTAAACTATTAAAAAATGAGCCTAAATTTTTCAACTATATGAGAATGACTAAAGTAATTTTATTCTAGTTTATCTATAATTCATTTTAATTTAGGAAACCTTTTATTATATACTCAAACATGTAAAACCTTTATTACATACCAAATGTAACAATTTTATAAAACATCCTATAAGTGTTGAAGAAAAGTTTATGGTTTGTTTATGGTAAAAATAAATTTATTATTTAAATATATTTTTTATTTAGGTATTTAGCAACATAAGGTTCATATAGTATTAAATCAACACTGCTATTCTTATTCATTCCATGATTATGCTTATATTTATATAAAAATCCTATATTATAGATTTTTATAAATTTAATCATATCTTATTTTGTATGTTATATAAATATCTTGTTTTGTATTTTATATAAATATCTTGTTTTGTATTTTATATATATTATAATAAAAATAAAGTTATTATTAATATAGTTTCAAATAACAAAAATATATTCAAAATAATTTTAATCAATAATCTTTTATAATATCAAGTATTCTAGTTATTTCTTTTTTTCCTGATTGGTACAATCATCTAATTTTTATAAATATCTTGTTTTGTATTTTATATATATTAAAAATAAAGTTATTATTAATATAGTCTAAACTCATAAAATATATATGTAGGAATATGTCACTAAAAAAGCTATATAGTTGTTCTAAATTCATCTATTAAAAATATTTTTATAAAGCAAGTTTAAATTACCAATATCATTAAACTTTCTCTAAGAAGATCATTCATTATAAATAATATATATTTAGACATTATTAATTATCAAACTCAGTACAAAGCTTAATTAATGCAGGACTTTTGGGAATAATTATATCATTCAATGTATTTCACAAAATGTTTATTTCAAATAATATAAATACATACAAAATATATATTTCAAATAACAAAAATATTTACAAAATATATATTTCAAATAACAAAAATATATACAAAATAATTTTAATCAATAATCTTTTATAATATCAAGTATTTTATTTGTTATTTCTTTTTTTCCTCTTTGGTACAATCATCTAATTTTTCTTATAACATTAAACATATTGCATGTTCTGTTGATTTATTTTTAAGCATTTCCAAGATTATTAATGCTTTATCTGCTTCTATTTTCATTAATTTCCTATAGTCATCTATTTAAAATTTATCAATAAATCAAAAAATATAAATTACCCATATCATTGTTCTTTCTCTTAGGACATTTATAATAAAAACTAGGTGACCCAACACAGGACATAGATTCTATATAAAAGATAATATAAATTTTTAGATATTATTAATTACCAGAATCATTACTAAGATTTAATGCTGCAGAATCTTTGGGAATGAATATATCATCTGATATATTCTCACTATCAATGAGATCACCTAAATAATAAATATATTTTATCAATTAAAATGCGATATTTTACATTCATGTATACCCCCTGTTATTTCATTAAATATATCATTTGCATCTTTAGTAGTACATTCCTCTATATCTAAAGAGGATTTCTGTGATCTAGGTGTTAAGGTTTTTACCAGGAATAGCATATCCTGATAGAATGGCCATGAGATGTGACCTCTGACCCACTTTTCAGTCTTTTTAGCTTTTGCCTCTCTTTTATAAAACAATCTCTCAGATTTTTCCAGAGAGATGAACCTAAAAAAATTTATAAATATAATATGTATGTAAAATTATTACCAAGCATATTATACTGCTTGGCTAATAATTCCCAGATTTTATTCTTGTATATAATACTTTTATACAAATGATTATGCTTATTATATAAACATTCGTACTCTTTAAGAGGAAGAATAAAAGCCATTTTATCTATTTTCTAAAAAAAAATTAAATTTAAGTCATAATTTTAACTTGATTCTTTGGTTTTATATCATCAAAAAAGGTTGTCTTTGAATTCATTTCAATTAATAAAAAATTAGCGCTAAATTTAAAAGTAGCGCCAAATCAAAAATTTTGAGCTATATTCACCAAAATCTGTATTTAACGAAGCACTATTTCAAAATCTCGCAATAAACGCAAAATAATTTGTGTTTTGAGAAAATCGCGGCGATTTGCTTTCCCGTATTAAATCGCGCGATCGGTAACTATGAATGCGATATGATATTTACTGTATTTAGTATTTATCGCGTCTAAATCGCAATCGCGCCACTATGAATTCAGGGTAAATTATCAATAATGTTTAAAGGCTGCTTTCATAGTGCAGATCCGATTTTTACATCCGTTCCGTCAAAAGTCAATCTCATTAAAAATGATATATATGTTCATAGTGCGTCCACGATATCTTCCTAGTTATGTATTATGGATAAATCTAGGTTTACAATTTGGTGAATCAGGTATTAAAACTTTATAAATATAACATAGAATTTTTTAAATAGTTAGTTTTTACAGATATTTTTTAGGTGATGAGTTAAATTTTACTCTTCCATTTGTCTTCTCTATTTGTAACATACCTTGTTAAAAATAACTAAGCTTGTTTATGTTTTAATAATTAATAATCCTAAAAATATTAATGCTATCATTTGTTATATTGTATTAATACTATATCTCTATTTATCATAACTAAATAGAATTTTATTTTATTTCTAATATTCTAACATTATAATACATTATTAACTAATAGAATTTTTTGAATTAATTATAATAGCATTTTATCATAATTATTCCATTTATCTTCTCTTTTACTCTCATCTACCTTGTTAAAAATAACTATATATAATTTTTTTTTTTAATATTTTAGCTTGTTGATGTTAAAAATAAAAATTAATGTGTTAGATTTAATTGAAGCTGTAAGAGGATCTAAATTTATATATGATAAATTTGATGAAAGTTACAAGGACCCAAGCAAAAAATCAGAATTTTGGATATATTTAGGCCTACAATTTGGTGAATCAGGTATTAAAACTTTATAAATTTAACATAAAATTTTTTGAATATATTTTATTAATTAAATTGAACACTTTCAATAATTATATATATATTTAGAATTGATCAAACAATATGATCATTCATTATCTCTATTTTATATTTTTTAGATGATGAGTTAAATTTTACTCTTCCATTTGTCTTCTCTATTTCTAGCATACCTTGTTAAAAATAACTAAGCTTGTTGATGTTTTAATAATAAATCATCCTAAAAATATTAATGTTATCATTTGTTATATTGTATTAATACTATATTATCTCATGTAAGTATTTAGATAAAAAGATTAAGCTTACTATTTAATTCTTAAATTTGGTAATACAATGTTAATCAATATCTTTGAATAATCATTTAGGAGCAAACTTAATTTTTTAATTAAATTGAACACTATCAATAATTGAACAAACAATATGATTATTTATCAGTTTTATATTTTTTAGGTGATGAGTTAAATAATAGTTGGAACAATCTAAGAGTTTACCAAAATAAACTATATAAAAAAACTCTGGATAAACCTAGTGGTTCAGCAGGACCACCATATATATCTGTATGGCCGTATTATGAAGCATTATCTTTTTTAAACAAAACATTAACACCTATAACACAAATATCCTACATAACCATATCAAATTCCACTCCGATGTATGATATCACCACAGATGAAAATATATATGGAAAAAGATATTTCAAAATCGAATAAAAAAGTAAAAACAAATTATAGAGAAAAATTATTTGAAAAAATAATAAAAATAGAGGAGGATAAAAAAGAGGTATTCTCTTTGCTAAATTTATAGATGAAGAATTGTCATCTTTAAGATAAAGTGAAAATGAACATTATTCAAATGATTTTTTTATATAAAAGTCAATTAAAAAAATAAATTATATATTTTTTATTATAAAATAATAAATATTTGCTTTGTGCTTTTTAAACTTAGCCTGACCTATAATTATATCATTTTAAGTACCATATCAGGAAAGGTCTGATAAAAATAAATTTGATTAGTCAAGGCTTACTAAGTAGCAAGATATTTACACTCAGGATCCTTTTCTTATATAAGCTACTTTAAAAACATGTCACATTAAAAAATCAGTAGTAATACAGACCTCAGTATCAATTTCTAATAAATCTTATTACCCATTCACCAAGTATTTAAATTTAATACAATAGCAGACAATATTTATTTACATGTATAAATTTTTTTTAAGAATTTATTAAACAAAAACATGGGAAATTGGTACAAAATAATTATTTTATGAACAAGTTCTTGTATTTTTATAAAAAGAAAATATACCAAAAAATATAAAAAAATTTAATACATATAAATTCAAAATATTGAAAAAATAAATATTAATTTAAAATATTAGTTTGCCAGGGCAAAATGTCTATATTATTAAAATAATTGCTAAATAAATTTCTTATATTTTTATTTTGATCAGAACTATTTTTAATACTCTGTTGGTTCCATAAAGGATAATTTGAACCAACAGGATCAAAACTAATTATATTTAAATTTTCTTTAGTTAATATTATATTATGTAAAATACAAGTTGCATTAATGATGTCTTCAAAAACAGGTAGACTAACCTCTACCTGTTTTAATAAAATTCTCCACTTTGAGGTTAAAACCCCAAAACTACACTCCACTATCCTTCTTGCCCGGGATAGACGGTAGTTAAATATTTTAGAATCATCTTTATTATTTTTAATAAATGGCTTCATCAAATATCTTTTCAGAAGATTTGCTCCACCCCCAAAATAACATGAGGCACCACTATATTTGAATTAGGTAAAAGCTTAGGGGGTGGAATTGGGAGCTCACCACTTTCAATTCTTTTTGATAGAAGTGAGGTTGCAAAGACTCATCCATCACTTTGGCTTCCATAACTGCCAACATCTATAACCATAAATTTGCCATTATGATCCACCAATTCTTGAAGGATTATTGAAAATCCATGCTTGTAATTGAAAAACTGTGTTCCTGTGTGCGGAGGCTTATTTGTCTTACAATGCTTCAAATCAATGGCCCCTAATAAAATATTATAGTGGTGCCTCATGTTATTTTAGGGGATGGAGCATATCCTCTGAAAAGATATTTGATGAAGCCATATATTAAAAATAATAAAGATGATTCTAAAATATTTTACTACCGCCTATCCAGGGCAAGAACGATAGTGGAGTGTAGTTTTGGGGTTTTAATCTCAAAGTGGAGAATTTTATTAAAACAGGTAGAGGTTAGTCTACCTGTTTTTGAAGACATCATTAAAGCAACTTGTATTTTACATAATATAATATTAACTAAAGAAAATTTAAATATAATAAGTTTCGATCCTGTTGGTTCAATTATCCTTTATGGAACCAACAGAGTATTAAAAATAGTTCTGATCAAAATAAAAATATAAGAAATTTATTTAGCAATTATTTTAATAATATAGAAATTTTGCCCTGGCAAACTAATATTTTAAATTAATATTTATTTTTTCAATATTTTGAATTTATATGTATTAAATTTTTTTATAATTTTTGGTATATATTTTCTTTTTATAAAAATACAAGAACTTGTTCATAAAATAATTATTTTGTACCAATTTCCCATGTTTTTGTTTAATAAATTCTTAAAAAAAATTTATACATGTAAATAAATATTGTCTGCTATTGTATTAAATTTAAATACTTGGTGAATGGGTAATAAGATTTATTAGAAATTGATACTGAGGTCTGTATTACTACTGATTTTTTAATGTGACATGTTTTTAAAGTAGCTTATATAAGAAAAGGATCCTGAGTGTAAATATCTTGCTACTTAGTAAGCCTTGACTAATCAAATTTATTTTTATCAGACCTTTCCTGATATGGTACTTAAAATGATATAATTATAGGTCAGGCTAAGTTTAAAAAGCACAAAGCAAATATTTATTATTTTATAATAAAAAATATATAATTTATTTTTTTAATTGACTTTTATATAAAAAAATCATTTGAATAATGTTCATTTTCACTTTATCTTAAAGATGACAATTCTTCATCTATAAATTTAGCAAAGAGAATACCTCTTTTTAATCCTCCACTATTTTTATTATTTTTTCAAATAATTTTTCTCTATATTTTGTTTTTCCTTTTTTATTCGATTTTGAAATATCTTTTTCTATATATATTTTCATCTGTGGTGATATCATACAGCGGAGTGGAATTTGATATGGTTATGTAGGATATTTGTGTTCTAGGTGTTAATGTTTTGTTTAAAAAAGATAATGCTTCATAATACGGCCATACAGATTATATGGTGGTCCTGCTGAACCACTAGGTTTATCCAGAGTTTTTTTATATTATTTATTTTGGTAATCTCTTAGATTGTTCTATCTAGTCTTTAACTCATCACCTAAAAATATAAAACAGATAAATAATCATATTGTTTGCTCAACAAGCTTAGTTATTAACAAGGTATGCTAGAAATAGAGAAGACAAATGGAAGAGTAAAATTTAACTCATCACCTAAAAAATATAAAACAGAGGTAATGAATTAACATATTGTTTGATCCATTCTAAATATATAGTCTGAGGAAGAAGCCTTCTCGCTAATTGCCAGTTACTTAGGGATGTCAGATCCGAAGTTCTTGAAGAAGGATAATGCAATCTGACAAAGGAGGGTAGGATAGTATATTATTGAGATAAAGATGTGATCTTTTGATATTTCCGAATATTTGGAAATTTTATGTTGTTCTTTTTGCTCAGGTTTGGAGTATGGTTGGATAAAGTTAATTGATATATATAAAAATAGTTCCAAACCAGAAATAAGCCCCGTTTCCACGGGGAATCAGGATGATTCCGTCAGGCCATTTTCCATTGGATCTAAAAAGTCTGGTTCAAGTATAGCGGGTATTTTGGATTGATTTCAATGCTCGCTAGATGAAGAAATTGTATTGGGTGTGCAATATAAACTGTATATGAAGCTTCTGCAGACAGAGCAGAAGTAGGAAAGGTTATTACACACAGCGTCTACATCAGCGGGAGTGATAGGAACAGTTTGCATCCAAATTTTTTGAATAAGGAGGGGGAAGGATTTAAGAATAATAAACTAAGCGTAAGATAAATTTTTAGATGACATAGGGCAAAATGTATTGATGTAAAAATAAATTTTTTATTATAGACATAATATAACGATATTGCTAAATATTAACCATTCTATAAATGGCACACAATCATTAACATTATTTACTAATAAAAATATTTTTAAAATTTTTATTAGTAAACTCACATTTGATACGTTGACGAAATTTAATGAAAAACATTTACATATTTTTTAAATTATTTGAAAATAAAATAATCTGACTTGTAAAAAATTGTTAAAATAACATTTTATCAATTTTTACATAATTTTATTAAAGAATTAAAAAACATGGAAATGTTTAAATTAAATATGCACAACACTGCATAATAATACATTCATTGTAAATAAAAGTTTTTAATATAATTCATGTTATAAAAAAATAACTTAAATACAAAATATTTTGCTAGTTTGCAGTAAAACAGTAATCATTTAAGTTATGAAGGTAGATCAATTATATTAAAAAGGAGGAATCATTAATGTATGAATATCGCTGCCGAAGGTGTTGAAATATTTTTTAGGGTGGTAGGCAGAGATTTTAGAAGGGGTTATGCTTCCAGTGATTATTCGGACATGTAGACATTGATTGCACAATTTATGTAGATTTCGATTACGTGGGTTACCTCATTGTTTGTTAGTTGAAGATTTTTGGAAGAAATAATTTTCAAAAGTATGTTTATAAAGTGTGTTATATTCGCGTAAATCATTTATAAATTATATTTTTATACAATTATTTAGTTTGTGAATATGTTATCGACGATTGTTAAGTATTAATTTGACTATGCAGTCTAGAAATTTTCTTTTATGAACTTTAATATACTTGTAATTTTTATTATTTTTTATGAATTTTTAATGTACTTGTATTTTTTTTTGCATATTAAAAAAATATATATAAATGAAAAAATTTTAAAATAAAAGAGTTGTAAGATTTATTAACAAAATTATTTAATTTTTTATATATTCTTTTTTATTAATACCAGGTTCTATTAAGTTTATTAAAGTCTCTCCCACAAGTCTTCGACAAATAGATTACAATTCAAATAAGGAATTGTAACATTCAAGAATATTTGATATAATATGAAGGATCAAGTTATCCTACCTATTCAGGACCCAAAAGGAAATGAACCAAATTTATTTATAAAGCTAATTGTATTATAAGATTAAGAGGGCTGCACTCATCCTACTTTTTTAGCTGACAATGACAAATGGGCCTAAAATTGATTTATATATCTAAATTTCGTCCATATCTTATTTGTTTTGCGTGATTAGTATAGGTGGGTACTTTCAATTTTAACTAATGCCCAATTATAAAAAGCAAGCTGTCAATTGTTTAAAAAAAATAATTGATCTACAATTTCTAAAAAAAAGTATAAGATGTTTTTATTTTGATATCGATGCACCTAGGTCAAGAAATAATAAATAAATCTTTAATTAAAAAAAATGTTCATGCGAATCTCAATTCTATTAATTAACTTTCAAACTACAACGAAATGTAAGTTTTTTTTCTACAAAATATAAGCTTGACAAATGTAACATACAATACAATTGAAACAAAATTAAGATGGGATTAGATAAATTTAAAAAATAATTTTATCATTAATTCAAAATGATCTATGAGAAATATTAGACGACCTTTATCTTAGACATAATATGAATCATTTCGGAATATTCTAAAAACAGTGCCAATATTTTTTCAATGATTAGTTTTTAATTTTAATTTATATTCGAATTTCGTTTTTTTTAAAATAATCATTTATAATTCATAGATTTATTTCATGTCATACTTTTCTAGATGTCGACTATAAAAAAATTTCCATCATATTTAAATAGTCATTTGAAATTTTTTTATGATTATTTAAAATTTGTCTGCTAAATACATATTTTCTTGTGAGAAAGCCTTGGAATAATTGTGAGGTGGTTAACTTACCTTACCATTAGCATTTTAAATTATATATATATATTTATATACTATACGTAACCAAAATGGAGTCCTCAGTCTAGGTATTATTATATATATTATTGATGCCTATGACAATTCTCATAGACTAAATGAAAATGGCATCACCAGTTAATTTACATTCAAATATTAAAAATGCACCTTTATAAATAAATAGCTAGAAACTTTTATCAAAATTATCACTTATTCAAAAAATAGAACATTTTTTTCAAAACTTTCTTTCATAGATCATAACGATTAATTCTCAAATAATAATAGATATTTTCTAAATCCAAATTGTATAAGTGTTTTATATTATGTATCACACAAAAACGCATAGATATCAGTGTTTGTGACAATGTTACTATTCAAAATTGGTATGAGATCGGATAAAAAAGCCGATTCATTCTTTTCTTAAAAATAAAAATATTAGCAAGCAAGGCGCAGTCCTAATTAAAAACTGCGATATTTTGTATTATCTTTTTTAAGATCATATTAGACTTTTTAAAAAGGAATAATGATTCACTTATTTTAAATTATCTTCATTTCTCAATTATTTTAAACAATTTTGAGCAGAATTTAAACTATTACTTGTAATTTGTATTGTTAAACGGCCTGAAAATTCAATATTTTATCCAGAAATATATAGGCAATTTCTGAAGATTTTTCTCATAGATAGCACAAAGGTTTGGATATCTATTAGCGGAATCTCAAGGCATAGGCAATATTTTCCTGGCTAAAATATCGAGCTAACAGTTTTTAAAAATCAGATCGAATCTAGCCGACACTATTTATTAATTATTAATCCTATCACAATTTAATCAAGGAGTCCAGAAAGGGTCAGTAAATAGAATGAATCAATTAGGTGATCTGAATCTATGAAATCATTTTTGAACCATATTCTATAAATATATATATACTTTTTAAATCCAGGGCCTAGAAAAATATATCTAATAAATTTTTATGGAAATGGAAAAATTGACAAAATATTATAATAAGGATTATTTTACAGCATCAATTTGTTGTAGAAAAATTATTTGTTTATTTTAAAAGATATATATCTGTTTATATCGTTGAATAAAATGTAAGTAATAAATTATAGCTCTATTATACACAACAAGCTGATCACGAAAGTAAGAGATATTATATAAGTCATCCATTGTTTCATATCATTTTCGATAAAATTTTAATTTTGTAATACTTGCGATTCAGTCTCAAAATTATACTATAATAAATAAATAAAAAAGTTTATATAATATATAATTTTTAGTTTTGTTTGTATAGAATATGTTACAGTCAATCAGGTGATCAGTACTTACTAATCAATCATGTAAGAAAAAAAATAGTCAAGACATGTATTGACAGAAATTTTTCAAAAATTACTTCTGATTGAAATTGTTTTTAGAAAGAAAAAAATTTCCATAAATATATTTGGTGATGGTCAAAGACTAAGATCGGAATAAAAACAGGACCAAAGACCGATAAAAAGCGGATCAACTTTTTAAAAGTTATGCAAAACTACCAGAGTTGTTAAAAGATACTTTTAAATGGATCTAGATACAGATACAACGTCTAAAATAAAATCTAGATACAGATTATTTAATCAAAAATCTATCTAGATACAGATACCACATTTTTATATCTAGATACAGGATAACAACTCTGAAAACTACTATTTAGATCTGGGACCTAAAAAAACAGTAAATATTAAATGTTTTGCCTTGACTAGTGTTGTTAAACGGCCCGATTTTAGTCGATTTTTAAAAATGGCACGATTAGGATTTTAGCCAAAATATTATAGTAACCTTCGAGATTTGGCAAATCGAAACCCAAACCTTTCTGTCACCTATGAGCAAAATATCTATACTTATATAATATTATTTTGGCTTAAAATCGTAATCGCGTCGTACTGGTCTTGACATTAGTTTTTTGTTTATGTTTTATAAAGAATCAACTGTAATGATGATTTTTTATTATCGCATAAAGTGTAAAGTATTTAGAAAACAATGACATAATTTATGTTCTCCATATTTATGATAAGTTACAACTAAATTAATTGCAACAGAAATATTGATTCAATGAAACATTTGAGCAATAATTTTGCGGAAAAGTCTACTATTGTTAAAAACTCCCCTTCTTCATTTAAATTAATGTGAAAATTTTTCGAATAACGATTGTTGGGCAGATATAAACAAGTGACTCAATATAATTTTAACTTTTTCTAAATCATAAGGTGTTTAGTAATCGATTCAAAATTGATAGATCAATCGTGACAATTCGATTGATTTCTTATAAACCATAATTATTTTTTAAAACTTCTGTGCCCGGACATTGATCATGATTACAAAATTATTTTGCTGAAAAGGATTGTAAATCATCTGTTTCAAGAAATAATATTTGTATGACTTTATAGGATTTTTATAATTTATAATGCATTTTTGTGTATCTCTTAAAATTATGTAATCAAGAAATTAGTATAGTGTTAAACCTTTCAAGCAAGATAATATAAATTAAAAACTAATTTTATATATAAATTTAAAGTCTTCTATAATGTTTGATTTGCACTATTAGTGATATTTTTTGAAATCAAGCTAATTTTATAAATAAACTAACTATATAAAATAAATCAAAAGAATTGAAGGGCAATAAAATAGCCATCACAAAAATTTTGAAATCCCCCCCCCCTACTAAATTAAAATTAGTTATCATTTAATTAATTATAAATAAAATATTTAGTAATAATAGTAATATTATATATAAATTTATTAGTTTTCTATTATATAAAAAATGTAATAAGTAAAAAAAGTAAAAAAATGGTTGATTTTGTATTTTGGCCAGTATTATTTCAGGAAATATTAAAGTGAAAGAGATAAAATTGTGTTTTTCTCCTATTTTAGATCGAATCAAAAGATCGACGATCCTGGATTCGATCGCAAATTTGTCATTTTTACGAGATTTATGATTCTGACTTAAATTGAGGATCGAGATCATTTTGTTTAAAATTCGATCCCGATCTTTTTAAAATTTTTTTACTTAAAAAGCAATAAAATAATTTTGAAAATTAAATTAAAATATTATTTTTTAAAAAAATATCTATCTTCATATTTTATCAACTTCCATTCCACCATTTATTTTATAGATATATTTATTCATTTCCTAAATTTTATGAGATTTAGAGATCTTACAAGTTATTTAATATAAATTTATAATAATATATTAATATTTATTTTAATAGGTATATGTAAATGTCCATTATAGATTTAGAAGATTCTATTGCTTCTACTATTGATGTAACAGCAGATATAAGTGAGAATGAGAATCTTTTACCATTTTTGAAATTACGTAAGTATTTTACTTTATGTGAAATGGATGAAAGCAACTCTTATAATATGATCACCAAATGCCGTCTCTGTAAGAAGATAATATTCTTCCAAAATATCATCCTCGTACTTAAAGAGACATTTAGAAGTAATTCTTTTAAATTTTTTTTATTTGATAATCTTAATGCCAACATGTTTAAATTTAATTTATTACATTCCTGAGTTGAGCAGGTCCTACAGAAATAGAATCTAGATACAGATTCTTTATAAAAAAATATTTTTTTATGCAATTATTTTATATTATCAGATATCTGCAAAATATATTAAAAAATTGCAAAGATCTGGCAAATTTAGTAAAATATTTTTAACAGGCCAGTTCTACTAAACCTCTGATATCTAGTAAAATATTAATGGGCCTTTAAAGACATTAAAAATTTATTAGTTTATTTGAATTTTAAGCTAATATTTTGATTAATATTCTTTGTAAATAAATTACAATGTTAATTTCTTTGTATATTAAGTATTAAGTTTACATTTAATCAATATTTATGACATGACCCAAATATAAATAAATACCATACAGATGATGTGCCAGACTTGACTGTAAAATTTAAAAGGGTTAAGTTTTGCAGATACTTGATTTGATTTATATGAATAAAATGAACACTTATTTAATAATAAATTAATTATCATTTCATAATATAGATTTCCTTCACTGTATGAAGACAGTAACATTTTGCAGCCATGATTTACCCTAAATTTAAACTTAATTGGCCTTATATTAATCTGCCACAAAATATGATGGTAAAAGAAAGATTAGTTGCCCATTTGGAAAAGATGCAGGAACAACCATATGCGGATACCTCAAATGAATGCATGGATGACATTGATGCTTTTTTTGGGAAAAATACTGTACAAAATGCTTGTTCCGTTAAAAAATTTTTTTATTCAAATGATGATTCCATGAATATTTTTAATACTTATATTAATTTTAAAAAAATATTTATTGAATATAATACACCTTTGCCATCAAGATAAATTTCTACCATATTTAATTTATTTTTATATTAGTTAATTTTGCATCGGTTATATTATATTATTATTCAATTACAATAAATTATAACATATATTAGTTAATTTTGCATCAGTCAGAAATTTAAATAGAAAAAAAGATCGTGATCGCGATCTTTTTTTTAAAAAAAGGTCGATCCTGGATTTCGATCCTCTTTTTTTGAAAAGATCGTGATCGGGATTCGATCGTTTTAAAAAGATCAGTTAACAAAGATTAAATCAAAAAACCTCCTTTTTTGTTCATTTCATATGGGAATACCTATCACCAAGTTTAATAAAATCATGGGGAAAATATGACTTGTCCCATACCTTTAAGAGAACAAGCACATGCAAACCCTTGTAACATAATGAGTATCATACTGAATCATGATGAAAATAATCTAGAGATGATGCCATTCAGCATGGTTTACTGAGCGGAATAATCATTGATTTAATTTGATTTGTGAGTTTAAATATTATTTATGGAAAATTACCTAAAAAGGAAAGAGAATTAATTGAGATGATACAAAAAGATTCATGGTAAGTTCAATTTTATAAAGAGTGTTCATCAAATATATGTAAATCTTTAAAATTATATTTAAATAATAAAAGATATCATTCTTGTTATAGTAAAATACAGCATTATTCATTGATTTTTTTATATTGTATTATTTTGTGAATATATTACTATTTAATAAAATTTAAATTAGAGTTATAGCATATTAATTTGAATTAAAAAAAATGAGAACAATTTCAGGCATTAACTTTATTTCTTGAAAATTTTTAGATAATACATCACCTGGTTTTTCAGTCAATACACAAATTAACTGGTTAAGTGACTTGACTATAAACATATATATTTGTTGTTAAACAACACAATTTGTGCCAATTTTAAAAATGGATATATCATTAGCTAAAAAAATATAGCCTAAGCCTCAAGATTTTACTATAAAATGCCCAAAGCTTTGTGTCATCTATGAGCACTCCTAATTCTGGATAAAATATTAATCTAACCGTTTTTAAAAATCGGGTCAAAACGAGCCATTAATAACATTATACTTGATAGTTCAATTTCAATTATAAAAAATTTTATAAAATATAATTAACAAATTTGAATATTATAAAAGTAAGATGATGTTAAAAAACTTACTGCAAATAATTTGTCATCTAGTTTTCTAATTGGCATATTTAATATGTCTTGATACTATAAATATATGATGATATGTAAATTTTAGATATTACTCTTTTTAAGGATATAACATTCTGTTTAGGTATTATATCAACCTGAACTCCTTCCAATTCATATAAAATATGAGGATCACTATACCCTTGTGTTATAATTTGATTTAAAATATTATATTTTGATATACTTTTTGTTGTATTATAAATTGATGTTGAAATTTGGTTTATCATATTATAAAAAAGATTTTTGTTAAAGAATATTGATTACCTGTCGTAATTACCAATACATAAAACAAGTCACGTGAAAAGTGGCATCTAAAAAAATATTGTCTATAATAGAGGTCTGTATATAAATTTTTTGAGCCCACCCTCCATTTATTCATACATTTTGTTTCACTCGCCCCCCGCCAAAGAATTATTTTAAGGCTGATTTGGCTCTTTATTCATTTATTTTCAAGTATTTTTAATTAAACATATATAATTATTATGATATAGTCTGTTTTGCTCTCTGAAAAATTCAAAATTCACCAGCTAATCTCGACCATTACTTAAAAATTCCCTTGTTGAAAATGTTTTAGAAACCTCGACCAGGCCAATCTGAAGTTTGGCGGGTGAGCTCAAGTTTACCATATAACTGCTAAATTTATTTTAAAAGCTAAACTGAAACGGTCATAGGAAAGGGATTTCGATGGATGATATTACATCTGGCGACATATATCTAGCGAGATTTACAGCTCATGATCATTTGTAACAACTTTTGGAGAGGTTACTGCAAGGCTTTTGACCTAAAAATAATAATTATACAGTTATTCATAAAAACATTATTAATTTTTAATTATTTGATTTAACTCATTTTTTTTTCTTTTACTATTGCAAATCGATCCACAGGTTCAGGTTCAGGTTCTCTTTTTTCTTATTTAAAAACTTATCATCATCTCCATTTATCATTACGTACTATTATTTTAGAAAGATAGATCATATCAAAAATTATTATAAAAAAATTATTAAAAATTGATTGATTGATTATCATCAATTAAATTAAGATTTCTAAAGGAGGCAAATTTCCTTTTATAATCCTTATTTCCCAATAACGTATTTTTCTTAATCAAATTCCAAATCTTTTACCTCTTGCTGTCAATAGACAATTCTTCTTAGCAGTTTGGCAACATTGGTCCTTCAAAAATGATCGTTTGGGCTGCTTTTGTTCAATTCGTAGTTGTCATCTGATCAAATTATTCAACGTATCACAAGTTTACCTGAGCTCCAGTTGATAAAAGTTCTTAATAAGTGAAATGATGGCAAGTTAGAAACCTCAAGCCGTCCAACGGGTACGATTGAAAATTAATGGCACCTTCCTTTGCTTGTTCCGTAGCTTTCCTTAGTTCGAACTTGTAACCTGAAGCGGTGCCATATTTTAAGTTGGCCTGATTGGATAATGAATATAAGTGCCTTGAAGCTATCCCTAGTTCGAATTTAGGACTTTTATTCCGAGAAACTTACCATAGCAGTAAGTTTGACATAAACTGTCCAATTATTTTTCCTTGCACTTATATTTTATATAAAGCAGTAGTCAAATCGAATGGATACCATCATCTCCGCTACAAATTCACCAAGGGGAGAAATATCCAATATCAATTTTTGTAGGTATATTGTAAAGAAATCTAGCATACAAAGATGTCTTCATAATAAAAAAACAAGAATATTATGCAAGCATGTATTGAATGTTGTAGTGTGGTACATAATTCTCAATACTATTGCAAAAATTCCCATTTATTATTATTTGTTCAAAATCTCCAAAAACGCGAAAAGATATTTCACCAATCAAAATACTCCATATATGCGAATACTATCGTCAAAATATGATAATAAAACTTTTACAAAAATTACATTTCGCAGAATACTTTTCGCAGTTCGGTGAAGGTGCTACAAGAGCAAAGAATTTATAAACCGAATAAGTCGTCATTTATTGTGAACGCCTAACGTTATAATAAAATTTCAGAACATATAATGCGATGCATCGATAAAAAATATGCGATACTATTATAAAAATAATAGCAAATTCGATAAAAATATTGTTGTAATAGTCAAATGAGTTAAAGAAAAATGAATAAAAAAGATTTATTATTCAGATTAAATAAAGTTCAAGATTATTTCAGTTTGTTTTTTAAACATTATATAAATGAATATTATAGAAAAGTATATATAATCGAGGATATTTTTCTTGTTAAATATAATGATTTTACGAACTTAATTTTTAATTTTAATTTTTTTATATTATTTTAATTTTTTATTTTAATTTCTTATTTTAATTATGTTAATGAAATTAGTATTTATATTATATTAATTAATAAAGTATTAGTAGTTTATTTATACTATTTATTTTATGCTCTAAATTCTCTCAACCACTACATTTGTTGGCCGAAACATTATGTTCTATGGACATATTCAGTCTCCACAAAATACTAAAATGTTACATTGGGGTTGGAGAGAGGAGGCGACAGGGCAATTACAATTCAGTCTAATTAACTCTGAAAAGAAATTCTAAATAAAGTGGAGGGATATGTATGAAAGGATTATCGACACTAAGACAAAGAATGAGAGCAATAAAACAATGGTATCAATATTAATGGTCGTATTTCGGAAAAGAATAGAATTAGTCATTTAGCTAAAAAGAATTCGTCACAAGAGATCGTTATACGTATAAGTGATCGATGTAGCTAAAAGAAATTCGTTATAAATTTAAGATATACGTTTAACTGTTATTTAAGTTGATAATATTTAGCAAAATATCAGGTTGTTGATTAACCAAAATCTTCATAAAGAGAAACGGCTTTTGTCATTAGAAAATATAGGCCGCAATCGAGCTCAAGTAGAGATCGGATTTTTATTTTGGATCAATAGATACAAGAAATCATTATCGTATAAGAGATCTTAAGGCAACGTGGATATCTTGACAAGCGACTAGGTAGAACAAGTGGTCAAGACCAGGATGCAATCGTTAATCGTTGACAAATTATCTCCAATTGCTTATCAAAACTTTAGTATAGGATAAAAAATCGATGATCTTAGAAACAAGAATTCGTGAAAACAATCGTTAAGCGCAGATCAAGCATCGCCAATCGTTGACAGAGATAAAGCACTTATCATTAGTTACAAGAGAAGAACGTTAGAAACAAGCAAAAGATTAAAATAATTTAACAGGAGAATTTAAGATGGGGCATCGATAATCATTGACTAGCAATCGTGAATCGTTTAAAAGCATGCAATCAATACCAGACGAAGGCAAGAAACAGAATCTACCGGTGAGAAGAAGTAATCGAATACATGCACGACTATTGGTCTTTCGCAGAATGGGGGGTCTAATCTAAGTGGAAGGGTGTTGTAATAGTCAAATGAGTTAAAGAAAAATGAATAAAAAAGATTTATTATTCAGATTAAATAAAGTTCAAGATTATTTCAGTTTGTTTTTTAAACATTATGTAAATGAATATTATAGAAAAGTATACATAATCAAGAATATTTTTCTTGTTAAATATAATGATTTTACGAACTTAATTTTTAATTTTAATTTTTTTATATTATTTTAATTTCTTATTTTAATTCCTTATTTTAATGATTATGAAATTAGTATTTACATTAATTAATAAAGTATTAGTAGTTTATTTATACTATTTATTTTATGCTCTAAATTCTCTCAACCACTACATTTGTTGGCCGAAACATTATGTTCTATGGACATATTCAGTCTCCATAAAATACTAAAATGTTACAAATATAAACGATTTTTCTTAAATATTTTTTATAATAATGATATCTATTTTGGCTTCATCTTAAATTCGTTTTACAACTGCATCAGTTGTAATAACGCAGCGTTAAATAACTCAACGCTTGGATATAACGCGTTTACTATAAATGAGTCCTAAGGCGTTTTGAGAACCTTTTAGAAGTATAAAAACCCCGAAATCTAAAATTTCTTTATTTTCAAAATGTTAAGTATTAAAAAGAGTACTGATCAAAATACATGTAATGCCAAAATATTATAATTTCACAAGTTATTAACATAAAATTATAATTAAATCTTAAATCTAAAGTACATATTATCCATATATAATATATAGAGTAAGATTGAACTAATTTCCATATTTTCAGAGTATTCAGTGATTGAAAAAAAATCTTCAGTGATTTTTTAATGCAATGCTCTAGCCGTTATAAAATATTTTTAAAGAGATCTAAATATTTTTATATATAAAACCACAAATTTACTTATAGAAGATTTTTTACGAAAAAGATTGAAAATTTTAGCATAAAATTTGATCTAAAATTTTCCGCTAGTAATCTCAAGATAAATATTTTTAGGGTCAAAAATCTTTATACATTTTATTTTATTAAAATTAGGTAGGGGGTGGGATGTAAATATTTTCTTTTACAAGCATAAAATTATATAAGATTTTAATGAAATTTTCAAACATTAAATAATTTAAATAAAACACATAAGCTATCATTTTTTTTTAATTACATAATGTGCAAATTATACAATAATTATGATAGTGCATAATTTGCAACATATATTGGGAGTTTTTAAGATATGTATTTGTAATTTTGAAAAATTAATTTTTAATAAAATGTTAGTTCAGTTATTTTATATAAGGATTGTTAAGTTACAGTTTAAACAAATATATATATGAAAAAGACAAAATAAACATTCCTTTTTTATTTGTTGTTATTTTAAAATGCTATTAGCCCACTATCCTTCTAAGTGTTTAATCTATAGAACGATCATTTTCCGACTAACACATATAAAATCTTATCCACATTTTTACAATTTTTAATCATACTCGTCCACTGTAGATAATGTTAAAATGCGCAAACCTTTTATCATTATTTTTGAGTTTGGACATACCCTAAATCACTTTGCATTTTTAAATGTTAATAAAGAAGAAGCGAATGAACTTCATTGTTGTAATACAAAAATAATTTTTTAAATAAAATGAAATTAGAAGATGCTTTAACGTCAAAGCAACAAAGAAAGAACTAAGGAAATAAAAAAATTAAAATAACTTATTCGACACTTTTCCTTATATTAACAAAAAAAAAATTATCAAATTTTTAATTTATTAAATTTTGAACATATCGTTAAAGAAAAATGTCAGATCTCATAGACATTTTGGGTTCTTGGATTAAATTTTTTTATTGAAAAAAATTCTAATGTTTTTTAAAAAAAATAATTTAGTAAAAGAAATTATTTTTAGAAATGGAGTGATGAAGGAAATTGAT